AGTAACTGAGATCTTTGGGACATAAACATATATTTTAAGTTTATCAAAATTGAACAAAAATTGTGACCTCTAGAGGCAGTCCTGGAAATAAATTTCAACAAGCCAACAGTGAGGCTGATGTCCCCCGCCGAAATAGGAAAATAATTAGAGGACACATATAAATTTATCACAAATTATCTTTTACAAAGTATTGAACAATCAAACAGTATATCTTTACTTATAGTCTAAGCATACAATGTTTTTGATGGAATAATTATAGCATATTAAGGGGAAAACATGCTCTATGCCTACAGATCTAGAGTTTGGTTGTATCAACGGGTCTATTTTCCATCTAGCTGCAAGTTGTGCAAAGTTCACTGTTTTCTTTCTGTCATTAAATGTCAATTCATTATTGCATACTACATATTTAATTAATTTATAATAGTTTCTTTTTCAATTTGTTTTTTCCATTTATTTGTTTATTTACCTTGCCTATATTCATTGTATTGGATTGTATTGGAATTGCTCAATTGATGCTTTTATCAATACCTGGTTATAATAATTTTGAACATTTTAACTCAATTCGAAGGAGTGTGACGGACAGACAGACAAACAGACGACGGACGAACCCATTTTAATAGTCCCCTGCTTTCTTCGAAAGGCGGGGGACAATAAGCATACACACCAATTTTGAACATTTTAACTCAATTCGAAGGAGAGTTATTGTGTTCCAAAGTCTCAGCAAATCAAATTGCTTATCGCTCTGCTTAATCTGAGCAGAAAATGCTCATTATCGATCTTAGTCAAGGTATTACTGTAATGAAACTATACACCAAGTTTCATCACTCTCACTTAATTAGAACTAAAGTTATAGTGTCCCAAAGCATCAACCAATCAAATTGTTTATCTACTTAATTAGAACTAAAGTTATAGTGTCCCAAAGCATCAACCAATCAAATTGTTTATCTCTGCTTACCCTAAGCGGAACGGACAGACAAACAGACAGACGGACGAACCCATTTTAATAGTTCCCTGCTTTCTTCGAAAGGCGGGGGACAATAAGCATGAACATTTACTCAATTCGAAGATCAACCAATCAAATTGTTTATCTCTGCTTACCATAAGCGGAACGGACGGACAGACAAACAGACAGACGGACGAACCCATTTTAATAGTTCCCTGCTTTCTTCGAAAGGCGGGGGACAATCAAAGTAGGAGAGTTATTGTTTTCCAAAGTCTCGACCAATCAAATTGCGTATCGCTCTGCTTACCCTGAGCAGAAAATGCTCATTATCAAACTTAGTCAAGGTATTACTGTAATGAAACTATACACCAAGTTTCATCAATCTCACTTAATTAGAACTAAAGTTATCGTGTCCCAAAGCATCAACCAATCAAATTGCTTATCTCTGCTTACCCTAAGCGGAAAATGCTCATCTTCGAACTCCATCAAGGCATTGACCTAATCAACACATACACCAAGTTTGAACATTCTAGCTCAATTAGGAAGAGAGTTATCGTGCCCCAAAGTATCAACCAATCAAATTGCTTATCTCTGCTTACCCTAAGCGGAAAATGCTCATCTTCGAACTCCATCAAGGCATTGACCTAATAAACACATACACCAAGTTTGAACATTCTAGCTCAATTAAAAGTTATCGTGTCCCAAAGCATCAACCAATCAAATTGCTTATCTCTGCTTACCCTAAGCGGAAAATGCTCATCTTCGAACTCCATCAAGGCATTGACCTAATCAACACATACACCAAGTTTGAACATTCTAGCTCAATTAGGAAGAGAGTTATCGTGCCCCAAAGTATCAACCAATCAAATTGCTTATCTCTGCTTACCCTAAGCGGAAAATGCTCATCTTCGAACTCAATCAAGGCATTGACCTAATAAACACATACACCAAGTTTGAACATTCTAGCTCAATTAAAAGTTATCGTGTCCCAAAGCATCAACCAATCAAATTGCTTATCTCTGCTTACCCTAAGCGGAAAATGCTCATCTTCGAACTCCATCAAGGCATTGACCTAATCAACACATACACCAAGTTTGAACATTCTAGCCAAATTAGGAAGAGAGTTATCGTGTCCCAAAGCATCAACCAATCAAATTGCTTATCTCTGCTTACCCTAAGCGGAAAATGCTCATCTTCGAACTCCATCAAGGCATTGACCTAATAAACACATACACCAAGTTTGAACATTCTAGCTCAATTAGGAAGAGAGTTATTGTGTCCCAAAAAGTGTGACGGACAGACAGACGGACGGACAGACAGACAGACAGACAGACAGACAGACAGACAGACAGACAGACAGACAGACGGACGAACCCATTTTAATAGTCCCCTGCTTTCTTCGAAAGGCGGGGGACAAATATCAGACAGGGTGAACATTCTGTCTGACATGTCAAATTTACGGTCAGGCATAATGTTCTGACATGTGACGCAAAGTCTATCCTATTGACTAATGGATGGGTGGGTGTTGTGACAACTTTTGTATAAAGATTCAGAATGAAAACAAACAACAAAATATCTTTTGCGATCCATTTATCAACCAGGGTAGATTTGCTTAGTTTTCATTTGATCGATGAAGCTGGTTTCTATTTAACACAGATATAAAAATATTACCCATTAAAATGACTTGAATGTCATGATACTTTAGGTGGATACATGTCATTGTTGGTTGGGAAATGCAGGGTGAATTATTGGGTCACACCATCGTTTGAGAACTTAATAATTTGTTGAATGATCTATTATTAATAGAAATCCCTAAATTTATCGGCACTTACCATGCGATGATAGCTTCTTGTCTTTGACAATGTTGGCCTAATCACATGACAATTTCCTGTCTTTCCTATTTAGGGTTGAAAATACGACCATCTTTTGGGAATATATTTGTTTGTTGCATTATTAATTAATAAAGTAGGATTTAGATTATCAGTTATAAACTGTATGTGGCACATAATCGTGAAAGCATGCTGAGAATACTTGTGACAAAGTGCTCCACAACTTTCATCAAATTTTCTATCATATAAGATACAAACATTTATTTAGATGAACCGGAACTTATTGAACTCCAGCTGTTTTTGATATTGGCTATTCACCTCTATAAGCACGTATGACCTTGTGTGTGTGTGGACCCAGTTCCTTATAAGATCGCAAGTATTCATTTTCTCATCTGTATAAAGGTAAATAAGACCCTGTGTTAGAGACGTGCTGAGAGGAGCAGAGGAGAGCGGAGATAAGTTCAGCCAATGCCATGGCAAAGGGGCGGAATGATTGTCTGAAAGTGGCAATGTACCATGTTTACATTTTCATTTATGTTCCTGCTGTTGCCGATGCAAACAAATCCTATACTCAAGAAACTGATTTCTGTTTTCAGATAAAAAGTAATACTATGGATTAATAGACTTTCATGTACATTGTCCGATTGTGAGTTGTGACATGCAAGTTACAGAATATCGAGTACGATAGCAAGTTAGAACTTCATGAGAAGGTCTAACGTTCTTTTATTTTCCAAAAATGGCGAAAATCTGCAGATAAATTTTCGCCTGGACAAAATGACAGACCATAAGGAAGTTTTACCTGACAAGTTGTGAAATTCGATCGGACTTTGTCCGTGTCCGACCAGTTATTTCCAGGCATGTCTAGAGGGGGTCCACAACTTTCGTAATACATACTCTTACAATATTAGCGTACAATTAGTGGCCATTTTGTAGGGCAGTTTCGTTTCAATTTTCCAAAAATTCAAACTGAACCTTCATTATGGTGTAACGCTGATATATTTAAAAGTTTTTTAAAAATCGGATAAAAATTGTGACCTCTAGAGGGTCCACAAGCTAAATATGTGATTTTTCGTATAATCAGGGGTCATAATCCAGGAAGTTATGATCTAATATGTGTGAATATCAAAAGGAACCGAGATCTTTGAGATATAAACATGTATTTTAAGTTTCACCAAAATCAGATAAAAATTGTGACCTCTAGAGGGTCCTCAACCTTGGTATTATGGTCTAACAGTGATATATTCAAACGGGTTTTTAAATCAAATAAAAACTGTGACCTCTAGAGGGACCACAAGTTAAAAACACAATTTTTCGAACAATCAAGGGCCATAATCCAGGAAGTTACAGTCCAATATCAAAAGGCCAAGATCTTTGGGTTATAAACATACATTTCAAGTTTTATCAAAATTGATAAAAATTGTGATCTCTAGAGTGTCCACAAGCTAAAAACATGATTTTTCCTACAATCAGGGGCCATAATCCATGAAGTTACGGTACGATACATGCCAATTTCAAAACGAACTATGATCATTGGGAGATAAACCTATATTTCAAGTTTCGTCAAAATTGGATAAAAATTCTGACCTGTAGGGTGTCCAGAAAGAAATCGCGAAAGGATGCCCGGATGGACAGGGGCGACGACAATATATGTCCACATGAAAATGTGGGTGTATAATAATTGCAAACACTGGCCAATGTGATTAAAGTGATTTAATATCTCAAAATTCTTTAGAAACTAAAATATATAAATTAAAACCACATACTTGTTGAATACATATTACTCTTTGATAGACATACAATGGGGTTAACATGCTGCTAACACTATACTTCAGTTATTCTTGCATTAAGATGCTGTGTGTTTATATTTCTATGATTATGTGTGCAATGCAAAGGGGGGAAGTTTGCCTGGACAGAAGCTTCTTTGAATTCCAATTGCCAGGGGATTGATTATGTGCACTACTACTTTGTACAAAGAAATCTGATTTTTCATACCCTTCGAAAGACTACTTACTATAAGATAAATGTGACCTGTTATTCTATGTATCTTTAAGTCACAACTAAAAACTCATTTGTTTAGACTCTATTAACCAGATTAGAAACAGATTTCTTTATGTGTGTTTTTATTGATGGGAGATTCCTTAAATGTAATGCTTTAAGCATACATATATGGATGGATTTTTAAGTGAATTATAAATATACATTATCATTATTATCATAAATATACTCACCACCTTAAATAAGGCATCTTATCTACTGAATGCAACTCGGGACTAGACTTTGAGCGTTGTACGTATTCCACTCCTACCATTTGGCCGCCGTGATGATACCAGTTCATCCATTTCCGGCAGTAACATTAAACCAGGAATGTCAAATATTGAAGCAACTTAAAATAATTGAATGCATTAATGAGCTACATTTTAATCGACAAATGCAGCCATTGATATGTTTTAACAACTTATTCATTGTCTAGTTTTAAAATATTTCCAGCTTTGCAGATCCTAAACTGTAAATTGTTTTCATCTTTGTTACATTTAGGACAAGATGTTGTGCCAGTAAATGACAAGTTTTTCCTTGAGTTAACAAATTTGCATACTAGACAAGATGTTTTCCTAGTAAATGCCATGTAGCAAACTGAATTTAGTCACAAGTCTTGTTTAAAGATAACTTTCCGTGTACAAACTGGGTGATTGGATGATATATATGGACTAAAAACATATTCAAACTAATTAATCTATCAAAATTTTGCTTCAAATCTTTCTCAAAACATTACATCTTCAACATTTCTTGTCAAAACTTCAAATATTCATCTTCGTGCTCATCTTCATTAGCCCAGTTCGGAGCAGAGCAGAACAGTAGGACATTAAACCCCATTTCATTTCATAACTTTGCTCAGCATAATGTAATTTGACTGAACTGTTCCATATATTCATTTTTCTCTAATTTATCTATTCTTAACCTATCATAGCAAGAACGGTCAGCTCTTTATCTAAATCTTACATAATTCAACTTTAACAAACTTCTTATTAAGACACAACAACTTATAACCAATGATGGGAGAGCAATTACATGATAATCTCTCAAACTTACTGTCTGCCAATTCTTGAATCTTAGGAGGAAGGTCTCGAAAATATTCATTTTTCATTGCTGCTTTTGCTGAAATTCTTTTGGAGGGATCCATCTGTGAATAGAATACATAGTTTATAGAACCCCTGAACCCTATACTATATATATAGTCAGTTTAAGTAAACTTATAGAGATTGCAATAGGTCAATATGGCAAGTATAAGTCTAATTGTTGCTTTCATAAATTTTACGACCTTCATCCAACAATTTTCTGATCTTCATCTGTATATGTTAGACAAAGTCCTGACTTTTGTAGGAAACATGCCAACAGTGAGGCTGATGTCTCCTGCCGAAGTCCATAAATAAATAGATGGCACATATTGATTAATTGCACATTTATCCTTTTCAAAAGTATTTTAAGCATAAAATGTTCACGATCAAAGTACCTGGTAGTGAAACTATACACTTAAGTTTCATCACTCTCCATCAGTTAGAATCAAAGTTATCTTATCCCAAACCATCAACCAATGAAATTACTTAGCTCTGCTTAGCTTTAGAGGGAAATGTTAATCATTGAACTCAGTCAAGACATTCACCTAATGGATATCTACCTCTATTAAAAAGCAGAGCCAAGTTTCATCACTCTCACTTAATTAGAACTAAAGTTATCGTGTCCCAAAGCATCAACCAATCAAATTGCTTATCTCTGCTTACTCCAAGAAGAAAAAGCTCATCTTCGAACTCCATCAAGGCATTCACCTAATAAAAACCTACACCAAGTTTGAACATTCTAGCTCAATTAGAAGGAACGTTATCGTGTCCCAAACAGTGTGATAGACGGACAGACCCATTTTAATATGCCCCTGCTTTCTTCAAAAGGTGGGGGACAAAATCATCAACTAGTATGGTAATTAGAGTCTCTGTGTGTCATTTTTCAGAAAATATCAAATTTTTCACAGCTTAATCCACAACCAAATGTGCTCAAATCAATTATTTAACATTTTTTTTTAAATGAAACAAAACTTAAATATCAGTGATTGATAATCTCTCGTAGATTCATTGGTTTAAGAGGACTAACAATCGATCACAGTTTAATATCTTAGAAATTCTTTTTAAATAAAACAGGTCAGTGAAATTGAAATATTTGTCAAATTTAAGTTTGCTTTCTACACAGTCAAATTTTCAATTGCAAATTTATGTTAACCTCATGAAAGTTTGTGAACGCGAGACAAAGTTCTTACTTATTAATGTATAAGGAAAGAATTTTATCGTAGATTTTGATCATGTAGATCATATTTTGACTTTATAAAGTTATTGTGAACACAAACAGTATAAAGTTAGACGAAAGTGTCAATGTATATTTGAAAAATAGGATTGCATCATGTGACGTCCAGTAAGCCAACAGTGAGGCTGATGTCCCCCGAAATCCGAAAATAAAAAGATGACACATATTAATTAATTGCACAGACAGAATGAAATACTCATTTTATTACTGCTGTCTTCAAGGACAACAAAGAGCAAAAGATTTCATAATCTAACCTGAATGTTGATAATTTCCACAGGTTTGTAAACTGAAAATTTAGGTGAATGAAGCAATATATTATCTATTTTCGAGAATTCATTGATTTAAGCGATAGAATAAAAAACGAGCTAAATATAGCGTTGAAATGTCACCAGGCGAGACATTAAGAAATCTTTTGTTCTTCTTGCTAGACAGACACCATTGTTTCTTTGGGGTTTTTTTTTTTCAAGGTACATTAAAACCCCATTCTTAACAAAATATAGCCTGAAGCTGTGTCTGCAGACTTCGATGCAATATATGACATCACTGAAGGGAAAAATGAATCACGTTATATGTCATGTGTAACACCCGAAGGCTGAATGAGCTTTTAAATTTTATAAATATTTTCAACAATTTTGATGGCAACATGCAGATTTTGTATACATTCACTGAATTATCTCAGCACATACATACAATAGATGATAAGATAGATTGCCAGGCAACGACACATACGCACACAACATCTCAACGGTCCGAGCGGACGAAAATGGTTGTCACATATTTATTATTTTGTAGTTAACTGGGGGCATCTACAACACAATTTCATACAGATCAGATTATAATTGTCGTTGTTTGAAGGTTTACAGGGTTCTACTAACTGAAACTAGGGCCTTCAGTCTGGAAGTAATTTACAGAAAATTTTGAAATTCAACAGACTTTTTCGTTTTTACTAATTGAAATAATGCATATAAATAACATACAGATCGGATGATAACTTTTGTCATTTGAACATTCAAATGGTTTAACAAAGTAAAACAAGAGCCATAACTCTAGAAGTAATTGACGGAAATTGTTGAAATTCAATAGGATTCCACATTTCAATTGATGCATATCAATTTCATACAGATTGGATGATAACTTTTGTCGTTAGAGCGTTAAAAAGGTTCAACAAACTTAAAAAAAGCAATAACTCTAGAAGTAATATTGAAAATTGCTGAAATTCAATAGGCTTATTCGTTTCACTAATTAAAATGATGCATATAAATTTCATACAGATCGGATGATAACATTTGTTGTTAGAGTGTTCACAAGATGCAACAAGTTGAAACATGGGCCTGAAGAAATTAATGGAAATTGCGGAAATTCAATAGGATTCTTCGTTTCACTAATTTAAATAATAAATATTAATTTCATACAGATCAGATCTTAACTTTCGTCATTCATAAGGTTCAACAAAGTGAAACAAGGGCCATAACTCCAGAAGTAATCATTGGAAATTGCCGAAATTCAATAGGCTTCTTCATTTCACTAATTTAAATGATGCATATAAATTTCATACAGAACAAATGATAAATTTGTCGCGAGAGTGTGCACAAGGTTCAACAAAGTGAAATAACTCAAGACGTTATAAATAGAAATTGCTGAAGTACAATAGGCTTCTTCATTTCACTAAATTGAAGGATGCATATAAATTTCATACAGATGGGACGATAACTTTTGTCGTTCACAAGGTTCAAAAAAGTGAAACAAAGGCCATAACTCCAGAAGAAATCAATGGAAATTATTAAAATTAAATTGGCTTCTTTGTCTCAATGATTAAAACAAAATAAATCAATTTTAAATCAGATAATAAATGTAGTCTGTAGAGTGTTCACAAGAACGTACGTGAGCAACGGCAACGGCAACATTTTCATGAGGGCGTATAAAAATGCACAGATTGTCTACAGGGTTTAGATTCCACTGTTGCTGCCTTTTTTGGTCATAATCTAAGAACAAACAATCAAATAATTAAATTTTTAAATTTCAATTTTTGAAAATTGTGCATTAAAGGATATTTTCCATAATGTTTGAAATTAAAAACACAAATCAGAATTCCATATTGATGTTGTTATCTTGCTGTAAAAATATGGGAACCTAATGCCAATATTTAAGAAATAATGAACATTTTATAGTCAATACACGAGTCACATATTCTATGGTTTCAGACGCCATTTGTAATGAACAAAGAAAAACATATCCTACAAGACAATGCGGAAGTAATTAGTAATGGCTGATTCACAAATGACAATTAAAGTAAAAATTAACAAGCCAGCAGTGAGGCTGATGACCCCTGCCACATCCCCCCAAAAGATTAGATGAAATAGATGATACATATTAATTAATTGTATCTTTTCGAAAATTATCAAGCAATCAAACTGATTATTTATACTTAGTGTTAGCAGAAAATGTTCAAGGTTGTTTTGAAGTACCTGGTACTGAAACTCTACGCTAAGTTTCATTACTCTCTATAAGTTAGTATCAAAGTTATCTTGTCTCTAAGCATTGACCAATGAAATTACTTACCTTATGAACATCTACACTAAGTTTAACCATTCTACCTCAATTAAAAGCAGGGTTGTTATGTTCCAAAGTCTTGAACAATCAAACTGCTTATTGCTACTTAGCCTAAGCAGAAAATTCTCACAATCTAACTTAGTCAAGGTATTGATATAATGAATATATACTCAGAGATGTATCGCTAGTTAGCCTAAGCAGAAAATTCTAATCATCAAACTTAGTCAATGTTTTGGTATAATGAATCTATACTCTTACCCAATTAGAACCAAAGTTATCGTGTTCCAAAGTCTCAACCATGGAAACTGGTTATCTCTGCTTGGCCTTAGTGGAAAATGCGCATGATCGAACTCTGTCATTGTATTCACCTAATAGACACCTACACCAAGTTTAAACGTTCTACCCCAACTACAAGGCGAGTTATTGTGTTCCAAAATCTCAACCAATCAGATTGAAGTCTCTACTTTGCCTAAGCAGAAAATGCTCAGCATTGAACTTTAAGATATTGATGTAATTAAACTATACACGAAGTTTCACCACTATCACCCAATTAGAATCAAAGTTGTTGAACACAAAAGTTTCGACCAATCAAATTGCTTATCGCTCTGCTTACCCTGAGCAGAAAATGCTCATTATCGAACTTAGTCAAGGTATTGATGTAATGAAACTATACACCAAGTTTCATCACTCGCACTTAATTAGAACTAAAGTTATCGTGTCCCGAAGTATCAACCAATCAAATTGCTTATGTCTGCTTACCCTAAGCAGAAAATGCCCCATTAAGGCATTGACCTAATAAACACCTACACCAAGTTTGAACATTCTAGCTGAATTAGGAGAGTTATTGTGTCCTAAAAAGTGTGACAGACAGACAGATAGACAACAGACCCAGTTTAATAGTCCCCTGCTTTCTTCGAAAGGCGAGGGACAAAAATAACAATCATTGTTTTATCATTATTTCTACAATTTTTTCCTTTAATTTGAAAACTTAGACAATCCTTCAAATATTTTTTATCAAAGATTTGCTTTGGAAAACAAATTCTATGGAATTGTGACTTACACAATTTGCACAAATCTGATAAGCTGTCCTTGGACTCGAATAAGGAATTTTAGGTATTGGTTGGAAATAAATCTTACCAAAACCCTACAGGGGGTAATGCACCATAAAAATAATTAAATGTCATGGTGACAGTTTATGGCAGATATTGAATCATGATATGGAGTCATTGCCAACTATATTAGTTTCAGCTAAGTGTGGTTCAGTTCCCATATAAGGCATTGTTTAAGAGAGAGAGAGAGAAATGGGGTTTAACGTCCACTCGACACAAACTAGGTCATTTTGGGACTAACATATGGTTTAATTTTATTTACACAATTCGCTTGCTTGTAGGGGTCTTTAGCAGTGGGAGGAAACCGGAGGATCCAGAGAAAACCCACGAGGTTGGACAGGCGACCCTACTCCTTGCCACGTACAACCGGGGATTCGAAACCACGCCAGTCGACTCAATGACAGACTTTCTGATACAGCGCACGCACGCTAACCATTCAGCCATCCAACCCCCCGCATTGTTTTAAGTCCCAACAGCATTACAGTCAAGCCCATCAGTGTATTCTACTACTTACCTGTAAAAATCTTATTGCCAAGTTATCTGAATGTGGAATGAATTTTAATTTAGGGACTATATTACATAAAGGCTGTGGATGATACAGGCCAAACTTTGCTGAAAATACAAAATAAAACATGTACAAATCCACGGCACAAAATTTTCGTACACATATTTCCATGAAACTTTGGTTACAAGAAGCATAAAAATTTGCAAATCAACAATACAGCTCTTCATAAAAGCTTGATAAGAATAAACTCTTGACATGTACATTGTCATTAATGACAAGCTATATTAGCCAGAAGATTCAACCAATCCTGCCAAGTAGGAGAACGATACTTCAAATAGAAGAATGCATATAACATATATTATCTAAAGGAGCATGACACAACAAGATCATATTCTACATTTTATACTTGGAACTTCCAAGCTGGAAGCCACAGTCTCTCGTTGAGTATGGCACCAGGATGTCCTAGGTTCAATCACTGTATTGCCTGATCCTGGTTTCATCATGTTGTTCAGATGAGACATGACCAATTGGCTATATGAAAATCAAAAGTTGGAAATGAGTAGGCTGTAGCACTGGTGTCAGGGTAAAATTTTCACCAAATCCCTGTTGATGCAGAAAGTAGGCCATTAAACCAAATTACATTTTATTTCAGTTCGGTGTACTCACTTTTATCATAATGAGGAAACTTTGATACACCTTCCCATGTTTTCTCTCTTGGTGTACCTAAAACCTATAAAACAACAATAGAACAGGAAATTTATTATTACTGTCAATAATTTGAGCTTTGAATTTATTTGACCTTATTTTGATCTTGGAAATTTAACTTTTAAGTCCCACCAGAAAATTCTGCTCTTATTGACAGATATCTTGCTCTAATTGTTATAACAGTTACATAATTTGAGCTTTGAATTTATTTGACCTTACTTTGATCTTGGAAATTTAACTTCCAAGTCCCACCAGAACATTCTTCTCTTATTGACAGATATCTTGCTCTACTTGCTTTGTAACCGTGACATAACTATTTATGTCTGGGTTATTGATATTAGATAATAAGAAATCTTTCTCGACTTGTTATAAAGTCGTCTATCGTAATGACAATCTTGTTCAAGTCATTTGACATTTAGGGGAAAAAATTATGTGCCAGACAAAATGATAAGCTCAAGGTGGATTGTGTAATAGTCAAAATTTGAGTGGCAGGTACCTCATTTCAACTCTAGTTCAAAACTCCATAAATTGCAATAAAATTAATGAGACAGTCTCACAATATGAGGTGCACAGATTTAAATAAGTTGGTAACAATTATGAATAGCTTTATTAAGATCCATGGAATACTGTATTTAACAAGTTTAATGGTCTCAAATGAAATTTTGAGACTTTTTAACATATTGCATAAATGTTAATGAAACAAGACTCAAAATATAACAGGCACATCATTACTATTACAAAATTGTTTTAAAATAATCCTAGACAAACTATAAATCTTTTGTAGCCCGAAGACCAATCCTTGACATATTCCACTTATAACATTTGTTCAAGGAACTTAATCTCTAACTCAATATTTTCCATAATATTCAAAATTAAGAACCCAAATTAGAATTCAATATTGATCAGTTTCAATCAATATTGATGTTGTTATCTTGCCGTGAAACTATAGGATGCAAATATCCAATATTTAAGATACAATTAACATTTTATAATCAGTACACAAGTCGTGAAACAAGGGCCATAAGTCTAGACCTAATTAAAGGAAATGGCAGAAATTTAATAGACTTCCTTGTTTCACTAATTTAAATGATGTTCGATATATAAATTTCATACAGATCGTATGATAACTGTTTTGTTAAACCATTCACAACATATCTACATACATTCATATTACATTCGTATGTGCTTTAGAACCATTTTCGTCTATTTCAAGGCTCCTTTAACAAGTCAACAGTGACGCTGATTCCCCCCCCCCCCCAATTCTTGTGTGAATCAATTTTCAAAGCTAATTTTACAAGAAACCGACAAAGGTATGCCTTTTAATAATGTTTGTTCAAACAATACCCATTGATACATTATATATTTGATAAGTAAAAAACTTGTAACATTGAAATATTGATTTTTTCCCCACAAGTATAAATTTTGGGCACTTAAGGCACTCCATACACAATTGATGGTACTTTATCTGTGTTTCTGTAAAATGTGATGGTAAATTCTTAATCTATATAACTTTCTCTTACAAACCCATAATTTCAAGAATATAAACTGACTCGAAGGAATACAATTAGATCACAAAAATCGAGTCGTATAACAGTAGTTTCAAAACTTGCCAAAGGGAACCCCAATTCAAATGGCCATACCTGTCAATAGAGTCACATAAGACTGTATGTACTATAACATAACTTTTTTTCATAATTTTCAGAGGGGGTCACTTAACTAGCACAGGTCCACTTGACATGGAATGACACAGATGACACATATGTAAATTAATTTCATATTTATCTTTTTCGAAAGTATCGAGCAATCAACCTGATTATCTATACTTAGTCTAAGCATAAAATGTTCATGATTAACTCAGTCAAAGCTTTGAAGTACCGGGTAGTGAAACTATAAACTAAGTTTCATCACTCTCCATCTGTTAGAATCAAAGTTATCTTGTCCCAAAGCATCAACCAATGAAATTGCTTAGGTCTGCTTGACTTTATTGGAAAATGTTAATCATTGAACTCAGTCAAAAGACATTCACATAATGAACATCTATACCAAGTTTAAATATTCTACTGCAACTTAAAGCTGAGTTGTTATGTTCCAAAGTCTTGATCAATCTAATTGCTTATTGCTACTTAGCCTAAGCAGAAAATTCTCATCATCGAACTTGTTCAAGGTATTGATATAATGATTTTATACCCTGGGTTTCATCACTCTCAAATAATTTGAACCAAAGTTATCGTGTTCCAAAGTCTCAACCAATCAAGCTGCTTATTTTTGCTTAATCTTAGTGGTAAATGTGCATGATCCAACACTGTCAAGGCATTCACCTAATAAATACCTACTCAAATTTTGAACAGTGTACCTCAATTAGAAAGAGAGTTATTGTGTTCAAAAGTCTCCACCAATCAGATTGAGGTATCTACTTAGTCTAAGCCAAAAATGCTCCTCATTAAACTTAGTCAAGGTATTGATGTAATAAAACTTTCACTCAATTAGATTCAAAGTTATCAAGCTCCAAAGTCTCAACCAAGTTGCTTATCACTCTGCTTACGCTGAGCAGAAAATGCTCATTATCAAACTTAGTCAAGGTATTGATGTAATGAAACTATACACCAATTTTCATCACTCTCACTTAAAAGATACATTATGCGAGATAAAATAAAGAGCTGTCAGTTCTCATTATAACAGTTAAAAAATAGATAATGTAAAGGGAATTTGCTGAAAATTTCAGTAAAATTAACCCACCCTGAACCAAGAATTTAGCGATTGAATTTTGGACCTAGCCTCGATTATCATTACTAAAGTCGGTAGGATAAAAAACATTGTCTCAATTATCCAATTTTTGACTTAATCATGAATGAGCGTTGAGTAGCAGATCGGATTATAATCCAGTAAATATCGCAGGCTAGTGATGACATTGAGAGTTGAGTACGATCTGGATAAGTTAATTAATGTCTAATTAATAATTTAGGTAACATCAGGCCTAAAGAAAGACCTGCAATTGGCAGAATTAGCTTTTGCATAATGTATGTTTAAGGGCATTGAGCAGTCCCAAATGCATATTTTAAAGCTAGCCCTTTTCGTACAATCAGGGGCCATAATTCAGGAAGTTACGGTCCGATATGCACGAATATCGAAAGAAACCGAAATCTTTGGGTTATCAACTTACATTTCAAGTTTCAACAAAATCGGATGAAAATTTTGACCTCTATAGTGTGCACAAGCTAAAAACGTGATTTTTCGATCCGATACATGCCAATATCGAAAGCAGCCAAGATCTTTTGGAGATAAACCTATATTTCAAGTTTTGTAAAAATCGGATAAGAATTGTGACCTGTAGAGTGCCCACAAACAAATTGTGGACGGTCCGGACGGACAGAGGCGACGACAGTATACGTCCACATGAAAATGTGGGCGTATAAAAACGCAGCTATAAATTTATTTTATTGTAGTGTTTCGAATTTCATCACTCAGATAGCTGGCTTCTTTAGTGAGAAATTTTCTTAGTGTGCCGTTCAAAATTTCGCGGCACACTGGTTGGTAATCACTGCAGTGTGCTGTGAGTGAAATTTTGACTGGACAGCAGCGCTACGGCCCACTCTTATATCAAATTCCAACTGGGCCTACTCTTATCTCAAAATCCAACTGCCAAGGTCTCTTTTACATGCACACCAATGTGTACATGGGACCTGTTTTTAATGCCATCTGAAGGACTATACATTGGGCCTTGCCAGGCTCTCTGTCTTGCACAACTGACAAGGGGGAACCACGCCGGAAAATCCTGATGAACTTTCTTAGTTTTCACTGGGATCGAACACAGGACACCCAGGTTAGCATGTCAACGTTTTACTCACTAAACCACTGTGTTTCCCACAGCAACACCCCCTCCCCCCTCAAATTTAAAAAAAAAACAGGCAATGAAACATATGCCCACAGCAGCTATATCGTCCGGGCAGCGGCGCTACGGACTACTCTTATATCAAATTCAAACTGCCAAGGGATCTTTAACGTGTATGCCACGTCTCATCCAAACGACTATATGCTTTCCCTTGCCAGGTCCTCTGTCCTGCACCACTGACATGGGGGAATGATGCCCGAAAATCCCTATGCACTTTCTCGGCCAACGCAGAGGAAAGTGGTTGTTTTCATATTGAGGTTTGTACCACTGCTCGCTTGACTACCTTATTAACTGTCCTAAAATAGTTCACGCCTATTGCAACTCTCATGCTTTGAGGCAACTAGTGGGATCAGTACAGCTTCAGGCAGTTTTTGCAATCCGATACTGATCCACTTGGTACATCAGATTTTTATCTGAAAGTAGTATATTTTTAATAACACAAGAAAATTGAAATCATAAACTTAAATGGCATAATTAGTCCACAATTAATTAAATAATTACATATATTATTGACTGTCAACTTGTGTTTTGCCATCTGTATCTGAAAAAGTGCTGCTTTTGTCACACATTTTATTTTTATATTTGGGTGACCAATTATTCATATCTACCTTAAAATTTATATTTAAAACTATTTGACCGTATTTTTATATATATATATATACATATATAGAATGTTGACTTTGCTTTATCATAGACCTTTCAAAATCCAGCTTTATTAATAATATATCTGATAAGACATTGAACCACATTTCATGCTTTGCTTTCAAAGTATGAACCATATTTAAAATAAGCTGCAGATATATGTATATATATGGTAGTTTTATCACGTAAGTCATATTCAATCAAAATCAAATATATCTTACTCAAACTATGTCAAGGGCTTAGTCTGTGTTACACAATAATTTGTTTCATTTTGAAATGAATTTTATGAGTGCATAAATGTTATACTACAATGTGTACCTTTGCCCCGTACAATCTCGCTTTAATACGTATCACAATTCAGGTGCATAATATATGATTTCGATAATTATAAAGAGTGACCGGTTACTTACTGAAGCGACAAAAAAAACCAAAAAAAAACCTATGAATTGTGAGAAGGTGAATCGTGACGCATCGCATGTCTTCCCGTTGGTGTTACCAACTAAGCCTGCAAATTGCAAACTACCAATATAGTGCTACTATAATTATTTTGTTTCTATTAATTAAAGATGCATTATGTAAAAGCTAAATCTGACTATTGCAAGTCTTTTTTTCTGGCTTCAAATTGTATCTTAATTATTAATTACACATTTATTTACATGACAAGCCTATAATCAACTTGCTAGACCATTGGATGGCCAAGATTTAAATGGATTTGAACACCCGCAAGATCTAAAAAATTAACGATAATATGGACAACCAAGGCTTAGTCTTGGATGACAAGTACCATTATTATGATAATGAAAGATCTACGCTTCATCTTCCACGAGTCATAACTGATAATTTTGCCGAGAATAAAGTAATTTGAATGAAATTTTTAATATATTCATATTTCATTATATATCTGTAAACTTTTATAGCAAGAACGGTCTGCTATTTATCTAAATCTTACATAATGCATCTTTAATATACTTTGATATTTCTATATATTGACTTAAACATACATGTACATTATGCAAGAGCTAAATCTGCATTGCAGGTCTTTCTTTAACTTATTAATTAGACATTAATTAACTTATCCAGACTATAATCAACTCTCGATGGCATCGCTAACCTGCGATGTTTATTGGATTAGGTTCCGATTTGCTGTTCGACTTCCATTCATAATTAAATAAAAAATGGATATCCGAGACTATGTTTTTTATCCTACCGACTTTAGTAACGATGATTGAGGCTAGGGCGAAAATTCAATTGCTAAAATCTCAGTCCATAGAGGATCAATTTGACTGAAATTTTCAGCAAATTCCCTTTACAGTATCTAGTTTTTAGTGATTATAGTGAGAACTGCCAGCTCTTTATTTAATCTCCCATAATGTATCTTTAAGTAATGGAATGTTTTAAAAAATTGATATACTTGTTTTTTGGGTTGTTTTTTTTTTAACTAAAATATAACTATCGGTTGGACGAGTAACATCAAAAGTGGGACATTGAAATTGTAGAAGCTGTGTCTGTAAATAGCTCATTTCCAGACTAATGCATGGTTCAATTTCATTTTGATAATTCGCTTGCGCGTAGGGGTCTTTAGCAGTGGGAGGCAACCGGAGGACCTGGAAAAAACCCACGAGATTGGACAGGCGACCCTACTCCTTGTCACGTACAACTGGGGAATAGAAACCCCGCCAGTTGACAGACCGCATGATACATCGCGCATGTGCTAACCATTCGGCCATCCACACCCTCATTATGATTCATAATAGGTTCTGTAGTAAATGTCATAAATACATTATGCAATTATTGTCAAAATTATATTATGCAATTATTGTCAGGATTATATTATGCAATTATTGTAATAAATGCAATAATTGTCATGAATAGAGTATGTTATTAACAAATGTGTATGTCGTTAATTTAGATCTTATGTTACCTGCTGCCAGCTCATTTCAAAATGGATTATGGAATCAAATGGAGTTTAATATCCTGCTGTTCTGCTCCAACTGGTCTAATGAAGACGGGCATAAGTCATACATTGTGCTATGAGGGACATTTTGCCTGGACAGCAGCACTGCGGCCTACTCTTACATCAAATTCCAACTGGGCCTACTCTTATTTCAAAATCCAACAGTAATTATTGGAAATCGCTGCAAATCAATAGGATTCTTTGTCTCATGACCTTAAACACTGTGTATAAATTTAAAGTCAATCGGATATTAACTTTAGCCCCTAGAGTGTCCACAAGCAAATGTGGACGCCGGTCGGCCGGCAGGGGCAGCGACAATATACAACTACATTTCAAAGTGGGCATATAAATATGGATTAGGAGACCTATGCAAGTCCACATGATAACTTTAAATACAATACCTTGTTTAATGGCAACAGTGTCAAAATGGGGAAGAGGGGCACAGATTTCAGAATGGGATATTGCCCTGGTTGTGGCAAACTGTAGGTCAGGAGAAAGACTACTTAATGCTAGAGACAAACAGTGGCTATAGCCTGACGGGAAGCTTAATTAATTGCTGCAATTTTCAAGTCATGATTCAGTTTCCCTTTATGTTTAATAAGTTTTTCTGTCGGCGCAATTCAAACTTTCTCTTTTCAAAATCTTCTTTTTTTTTTTTAACACTTTGTACTCATCTCAGAAAAATTAACTGCATTTAATTGAGATACAGGTATCAGTACAATTTCATAACTTGTTCTTTGGTATTATCAATGAAAACTGACTATTTCTACTGAAAATCTGAAATGGACTTGAGACCTTCAGGTACTGGTATACTGTATTCTATAGCACATGTAGGTAGATAATTTATATATACTATACCTTAAATATCTTATCTAACTGATCATATGCATCTTTCATGCCAGGGAATGTTGCTAAACCAGATATCATTTCAGTAAATATACATCCTACGCCCCTGTAACACAAAATAGAAAAGGAATTTAATATTTCCTATGAAGAGTCTTTTCAATCATGTTTGGTACTTCTTTATGAGCTGATGTCTCTTAAAGCTATGTTTTGAATTGACATTTAACTCACTAGTAGCTTGTATCACAATATGCTATGAACTTATAATGTCAATCAAACGAGAGACAGACAGAAAGAAACAGGATTTTGTCCAAAACTTTGGAAACAAATGTTATCAAAATTTTTATATTAAAGTGCAACTTAAATGACAAATTCAGGAATAAGTGTTATCTCACATTGATATTGAAGCTAGTCCAAATACTGATGAATGTTTAATGCACCCATACCACTTAGGAGATAAACACCGACCGTTTAGAATTTAGAGGACTGTTATTGTCCATTTGATACCGCTTAATCATTAGAGTATGCATGTGGTTGCTATGCTTGTTTACGTTGTCATTTCGACGCTGTGATTTTTTTTTCTTTGCAAAACAAAAAAAACCTGGCCTGTGTGTATGAAAATTAGTCTCTGTCCTGACTCCTATTCATATCAGTATCAGCCCGACTTGTATATTTTTTTTTAAATATATCCCAATCAGTTATTTACGGTCCATACGGAGTTCAATAAATTGTAGTATTTTTATTCACTTTTTGAAAATCTTCGATTTTGACCAGTCTGATGATGATAGATTGACCATACATGTAGCAACCATTATTGTCAGACCAGTCTTGAAATGAAATTTACCATTTATCTTTCAAATACGCTCACTAACTTTGTTTTTTTGTGTGTTTCAGGTGTGTGTTTCAATAAGCCAATGGTTGAATTTCATTGTTGATGACATAAAAGAAAAAATTCATGAAGATTTCCTAGAATAAAGTTTTGAGGTGTAGAATTTTTGGCCACTGGAGTGGAAACAGAGTCTAGCACCCAGAAAATATTCATTCGCAGTGAGTCGCCCAGGAAATTTAGAGGACTGTTATATTCATTCGACGCCACTTTTCGACCAATCAGAATCCAAGAAATTTCCATTGTGGGCTACAATATATAACTTACCACATATCTAGAGAAGTGGAATAATCTGTTGAACCTAATAATACATCTGGTGGACGATACCATAACGTAACAACTTCATGTGAATATGTACGACTAGGTATAGACTTCGCTCTAGCTAATCCTAAAGTAAACAAAACAAACATCAGTGTACATTAAGAAACACTTCATACATCTAAATTGCAACCTGTAGAACAATGCAACCGAAAAAAAATGAAAACAACTTACCAAAATCTGCTAGCTTTAATTCCCCTCTTTCACTTATTAATAAATTTTGAGGCTTGAGATCCCTGTAAAAGCAAAAACAAATGAGAGTTGTCTCCCTGCATATAATTTATGAAATAAAATGGGTTAGGAGTTAACATGTTGTCAGAATGGAACTTTTAAGAATAGTTTTATAATCTTATTATTTGAATGAAGGAACTTCGGAAAAAGGAATGAACAAGATGACTAGTCATCACCATCTTGGAATATAAATGGGACTAATCAGAAGATTCATATTCTGATCACAGTAGCTGGATAAGGCAGGGTCGCTACTCCCTGTAATGTTTGCACAACCTTTGTCTACCTCAATCAGCTGCTGTATGTTAAGCTTATACATCAGAAATAAAATACTATAATAGTTTGATGTTTGTACAAAAAATGAAATGAAATGAAATGGAGTTTAACGTCCTACTGTTCTGCTCCTAACCTGGGCTAATGAAGACGGGCATACGCCATACAGTGTGCTATGAGGGAAATTTTGCCCGGACAGCGGCACTACGGCCTATGTTTGTACAAAGTTTCAAAAAGATTTCTTGAACGGATAATAAAATATGCTTCGGAAACGAAGTTGGGACGGAAGGACTGTCATCAGAAATTAAAATAATATGTGTTATAAAGGTATCTTAAAGAGTTTCTGAGATATGCTCTAGAATAATAATTATGTACCAAAAACTAAGTCAAATGTGTAGTAAAAATTCAAAAATCATTCAACAGAGAAATCTGTTTCCATGGAAACACAAAAATGATCAAATCTGAGAAATTTCTAATTAGCAAAAGGCACAACTGCTATCGCAGGTTGATGTCTGTACAGAGTTTCATGAAGATATCGTAAATGGTTTATGAGATATGCTCCGGAAACCAAATTGTACGCCAAAAACTAAGTCAAATTTGTTTCCATGGAAACACAAAAAATATAAATCCAAGAAATTTCTAAATAGCAAAAGGCACAACTATTGTAATAGGTTGATGTGTGTGCAAAGTGTCAAAAAGATATCTTGAAATTTGAATGGTTTATGAGATGTACTCCAAAAACAAAATTGTACACCAAAAACTATGTCATGGAAACACAAAAAATATAAATGCCAGAAATTTCTAAATAACAAAAGGTACAGCGACTGTAAGAGGGTGATGTGTGTACAAAGTTTCAAAAAAACATCTTGAATGGTTTATGACAAATGATCCGGAAACTAAATCTGGATGAACGGACGGACCCATTTCAATATGCCTCCTCAACTTCATTCGGTGTGGGATAAATATATATAAAATCCCACCTTATACCATTTCGCTCGTATTCTTAAAGTGCAGATTTAACAATCTCTATCCAAAATTGTACTTCAAAAATTTCATTCCACAGAAAAGTTCCGCCAAGATACATACGTTGTTTTTTGAATACATGATTTGAAAGAATTTGAATGGGAAATTGATATAGATACAATTTCTGGTTATCAAGGGTTGTCTTGTTTGTTGTAAAAACCCAATTCTGATTTGTTATCCATCAGGTGCAGATAGTAATGTTTCTTAAACATTATAGACACAGATCCCAGAATATTTTTTCCAAGTTGTACTCAAAAGCTGTTTTTCAAAATTACAATTTACGTAAAGATTTTACCTGTACCTAAATAAAGACACTTACCTATGTAATATACGCCTGTAATGACAGTAGGCCAAACCTCGTAATAACTGATACAAAAATAACTAGAAAAAATGGCAAATACATTTCTATAGAAAATTATATACATAGCAATCAAAATTTACAGTATGCTGTCAACAGTCAATGTCATTTTCTTTTTTTATTGGTCATTAGTCAGACACTATATTATTTCTTCTTATGTTCAATACTTTCAACAGAAACTATATCAATACTATATTTCTTATAAAGATACTTCTATCAACATTTTGTGTAAATAGCTAAATCTGCCTATTTCAGAATTCAAATATATAAATTATTATCAAACATTTATTTACATGACAAGCCCATAATCATCTCTCTTGGCCATCAAATGGACCTGATTTTAAGTAGATTAGAACAGTGTGATAATAAACAATCTACACTACATTTTGTCAAAACTTCAACCACTCATAACTTCACAAAGAATATAGCAAATAAGACTTTCTTGATCAAGATTTTTGTCTTCATCATTACAGCCTTTACAAGGTTTTGGGACCTGCATATTAAATAATGATTATGATCCTACTTATGTGGAAATTTGTGAAGAACTAAACGCTATACAGAGAGTCAACCATGGTAAGTCAGGTGACAATAAAGTGCTTTTGTGAAAATCAATAAGGAACACCTTTTAGACAAATACTGAATACATCGGTCTACAGAATGAGTACAAGTAAGTGTGGATAGACCAATGGACAAAAAGAAGTTACAACAACATACAAGTTACAACCACGTGGGTATATAACCAGCGATTGCCAGGCAAGATACGACCACATTTTGCAAGAGATGGATAGAGAACAAGCTTAAAAAAAACAAAAAAAACAGCATTGCCAGGCAAGATACGCCCCCATTTTGCAAGAGATGGATCGAGTACAAGCTAAAAAAACAGCCGTTGGCAGGCAGGATACACCCACAATTTGTAAGAGATGGATATAGAACAAGGTAAAAAATGCGATTTTTCGTACAATCTGGAGCCATAATCCAAGAAGTTATGGTCTGAAATGTGCAAATATCAAAAGAGAGTGAGATCTTTAGGATATAAAGATATATTTGAAGTTTCATCAAAATCGGACAAAAATTGTGTCCTCTAGAGGATCTACAAGCTAAAAGTGTAATTTTGCGTACAATCAGGGGCCATAATCCACAAAGTTATTGACTGATATGTGCAAATATCCAAAGGAACTGAGATCTTTGAGATATAAACATATATTTTAAGTTTCATCAAAATCGGGCAAAAATTGTGACCTCTAGCAGGTCCAACACCTTGGTATTACATACTTTTACAATATTTGCATACAAGGAGCAGACATTTTGTCTGGCAGTTTTGTTTTGATTTTCCACAAATCCTGAAATTCAAACTGAACCTTATGGCGTAACAGTGATATATTTAAACAAACTAAAAATGTGATTTTTCATACAATCAGGGACCAAGATCTTTGGGATATAAACATATTTTTATTTTCATCAAAATCAGATAAAAATTGTGACCTCTAGCGGGTCCACAACCTTTGTATTACATACTTTTACACTATTTGCGTTCAAGGAGCGGCCATATTGTTGGGCAGTTTCTGTCCAATTTTAACGAAATTCGATCTCATTTATTATCTGGGTTTAACGGTGATATATTTAAACGATTTTTAAAATCTGATAAAAATTGTGACCTATAAAGGATCCACAAGCTAAAATCGCGATTTTTGTGTACAATCAGGGGCCATAATCCAGGAACTTACGGTCCGATATGTGCGAATATCGAAATGAACCGAGATCTTTGTGACATAAACATGTTTCAAATTTCATTAAAATCGGATCAAAATTGTGACCTCTATCGGTTCCACAACATTGATATTACAAACTTTTACACTATTTGAGTGCATTGAGCGACCATTTTGTTCAGCAGTTTCGGTCTGATTTTGACGAAATTCGAACTCAATCATCATTATTGTGTAACAGTGATATATTTAAATAGGTTTTTTTATGGAATAAAAATTATGACGTTATTTTTTGAACAATCATGGGCCATAATCCATGAAGTTATGGTCTGATACATGCCAATATCGAAAGGAACCGAGATCATTGGGAGTTAGACCTATATTTCAAGTTTCGTTGAAATCAGATAAAAACTGTGACCTGTAGAGTGTCCACAAATAAATTATGGACGGACAGACGTCTGGATGGACAGGGGCAATGGCATACTTATTACGTGCACATGAAAATGTGGGCGTATAAAAAATAAATAAAATCAATGCTTACCTTAACATTGAAGGCATTAAGACCTCCAGAGTGTTTCTCTAAATACTGACTTAAATCTGTATCCTACAAAAAGAACTTGTGTTTTACCAAAAAAAACAAATGGCTACGTATACTAATCGTCATATTGAGTATAGGCAAAACCCTGATAAATTCCTTTACAGCCATTCCAACAACAACAATTTTAAACAAGCCAACAGTGAGGCTGATTTCCCTCTGCCGAAATCCCAAAATAAATAGATGACACACACTAATTAATTGCACATTTAAACTTTCGAAAAGTATCAAGCAATCAAACTGATTATCTTTTCTTAGCCATAGCAGGATATGTTCATGATCGAACTCAGTTAGAATCAACGTTATCTTGTCTCAAAGCATCGACCAATGAAATTGCTTAGTTTAGCAGGAAATGTTAATCATTGAATTTAGTCAAGACATTTACCTTATGAATGTCTGCATCAAATTTAAATATTCTATCTCAATTAAAAGCAGAGTTGTTGGGGCTGCTCGATTGTCAGTCGGCACGTTCCGAAGTGGTAAAATTGCAATTGAGTGATGCGGAATTCAGTCCTGTCACAGTTCTGTCAGTCCCGATGTGATGTGAGTAGAATCGTGACATAATTAAACCTAATGAATATGTTTCAGCTGTCATGGTTGGTTAAAATATTTTCTCATGCAGTCAGTGCATGCGTTCTAGCCCAAAATCCCATTTTCACTCGATTGTGTCACTATTTTGGGGTTTCACAGAATTCAATTCCGGAATGTTCAATCGAGCACCCTCGTTATGTTCCAAAGTTTTGACAAATCAATTTGCTTATTAGGCAGGGAAGGATAGTTTTTTGCCTTAAACAAATTGCAAAAGAAACCAATGCATCTGGGTTTGATCATACATATATCAGACAATATCATACTTAAATTCGGCCAAAGTCGGCTCTTGCCAAGTATCTAAATTTTCGTAGAGTGATAACTAGTGCGTTTTAGACCCTATAAATGTATTAAAGGCCTTTATAAAAATGACATATAAATTTATATATGACAGGTTTTTTTTTTACCTCATATTGCAATTATGGCATCTGTTCATTGCTTTTCTGTCATGTTTTCCACCACAGTAAAGATGGACACTTGCCCCGTTTGTTTGGGAATGGTATAAAAGCTGTTACATTGCAGGCTACTGGAGCACATACTGTGAACGACGCCAGTCTCAATCGCGGGCTGAACATCAATGTGACAGCTGGGACTGTAGTGTATGAATGATGTAGACATGATTTTACGAACAGAAAAAGGAGATAGAAAGAACTAAACGGAAACTAGAAGGTGAATGTGCTGCAGCAGACAGCCCTGTCAAAAGATGATCCCAGTGTTCGTCATTCCGGTATGATTACATTTGTATCTTCTTTGGGCTGGAAATATCAGTTCGGGAAAATAAAAAGCTTTTCCTGTTCAAACTATCCTCACACAGAACAGTACCGTGCACATAAAAAAAAACTGCTGGACGATAGAATAACTCTTTCAAGCGTTCAGGGGAAGGCGAATGTCGTAACTTTCAATGAAACGGCAGCCTCAATATTACAGAAAACTCCAAGACTTTGTGTTGCCTAGAGGGAGAAAAGGATCGGATAATACTGAAAGCTGTCACACTCATCAAAACTGAGATTATTGACAAGATTTTTATCCCGACCCGAATGACCTGAAGTCTGTGGACGTTATGTTGGATTTCTTGCCAGATTCTCTGAAGGTTTTCTTACTAAGACAAGCTGCTTGTTGGAAAGTCAAAAGGATTGAAAATGGCTATGACAGGACAATGTTTAGTGCAAGTTGCAAGACCAAGGGAACTCCTTTGCAAATGCGGTTAGCGGCTCAGCTATACCACATAATACGTTACATGACCATAGATTGTGTCTGTCGTATGCTGAAGTACTGAACTTCAAATCATGCACAGCGGCCCAAACACCAATAATAGATGATATTGACATTGACAGCGACTCCCAAGTACAAGTGATGTTAGGCAATGGTCCTTTTCGGCACTACGTGTGTGATAATGCCGACAGGAATCCATGGACCTTAAATGATAAAATCTCTCTACATGCTATGGGAATGATAGAGGCGATTACTCCTTCAGGAGTGATGCAAGCCGTCAGTGATGGAACTCATGCCGGAAAAACAACTGTAAGGTTTCTACTAATGATAGACTTGAATCCCACAAATATAACTTGCATATACTCGACCTTATCCTTCATCACTCGCCAATGCAAACATCACCATTGCACACCTGTTATTACAGTTCACCAACCTTTACGGCTGAAAGGGAGGACAATAGTTTGTAATGAACCGGAGAGCAGCGAACTAAAACAAGTCATTTTGGACTTACCCGGTAGGTGGGTTTCATACCATGATGAGCTACTTGGGTTGCATTGGACATTTTATGACAAATACCAGTCTTCGCAACGTCCTTGAAGTGATATACGGTGAAAATGCTGTTACCTATATTCTGAATGGAAAATCATATGCTCGTGCCTCTCGAGGACACTTTCTGGTAGAATCATGAAACTTGCGATTCACTTTCATCAAGCGACGATGAACAAACTTTTCTCAACCCTGATTTACAAGTGGCGTTGAAATTGTTTGATCAAATTGTGGACAAGGATGTTTTGTCCTGTAAAGTACTTGACAATCCGGTCTTGTCTAGAATAGCAGAGGGACTCGAAAAAGCCAAGAGCGAATTTGCCACTTTCATCACTCCAGAAATTGGGCTCCAGTACACGACAATGGTTGATATACTATGCGACATCATTCGCTCACAGAGGACAGGATCCTGGTTACTGCACAAATATTGTCTTCGAGAAATGCTGCCTTACTTCGCTGCCACTGGTCACAATCACTACGCGAAAATTTCCAAATATATCTGCATGACCTGGAAGAACTCAAAGCTACGAATCTCTGAATGTACGAAATGTTCAGCCTTTTCGTAATCCGCAGGAGTGACCGGTATTGGGCTGGTTCATCAAAAGATCTTGTTATTGAACAGACGCTCATGAGAGCAATGAAAGTCACTGGCGGACTGGTTCATGGTCGAGAGGTGATGAGCGAAAAACAACGAACCAACTGGCTGTTGTCTTTGTCAATTTGCACGACATACAATGAATCAATGCAAGAATTGTGCAACCGCAGTTTTTCTACCAGTAAACAGCATAAGGAGCTCGCGTCTGCGAGACTGAATTGTGATAACGAAGACACTATGAACGTTTTCTAGTTTTTGTGTGAGAACAACGCATTTAAACAATAAAGCACCTGAGTAGCATTACTAGTGCTCTCACAGCAGATCACACCGTTAACGTACACAAAGGGAGGCAGGCGGGGGAGAATATTTTTGAGAAGATGTACGGTAAAGATGTGTTCCAGTTCTCATTTTCCAGAAAAGATACTGTTGTGCAACTCTTCCAAGATAAGCAGGTCTGCATGGCAGTGAAGAAGTTAGAACATCGACCCGCAGCTATTATTCCAACGACTTCTTGCTGTCGGGAATGCTCACACAGATGAACACTATATAGATCATCTTCTGCAAGACGGCAGTTTCCCCTTGTCTCATTATTTTCGCCTCTTTTATTGTCGGCACGAGTAAGCATTGCCATTGCGGTGTCAAGATGAGACCGTATTGAATTATGTTAATTATGCCATTTCGCCTTAGCTGATTTAGTTTCTTTTGCAATTTGCTTGAGGTCACTCCACTTTTCGGGGTTTTTTTTATTTGCCCTGATTATATCACTAGTTAGCCTAAGCAGAAAATTCTAATCATCAAACTTAGTCAAGGTATTGGTATGATGAATCTATACTCTTAATTTCATCCCTCTTACCCAATTAGAACCAAAGCTATCGTGTTCCAAAGTCTCAACCAATCAAATTGATTATCTCTGCTTAGCCTTAGTGAAAAACGCACATGATCAAACACTGTCAAGGCATTTACCTAATAAACACCTAAACCAAGTTTGAACATTCTACCTCAAATAGAAAGAGGGTTACCGGTATTGTGTTCCTAAGTCTCGGCCAATCAGATTGAAGTCTCTACTTAGCCTAAGCAGAAAATACTAATCACCAAACTTAGTCAATGAAACTATACACGAGAATGAAATGGGGTTTAACGTCCTACTGTTCTGCACCAAACTAGGCTGATGAAGACGGGAAACTATATACACACTCTCACTTAATTAAGATCAAAGTTATAGTTATAGAGCTCCAAAGTCTCAACCAATCAAATTGCTTATGGCAGAAAATGCTCATTATCAAACTTGGTCAAGTTATTGGTATAATGGAACTATACACCAAGTTTCATCACTCTCACTTCATTTGAACCAGAATTATCGTGTCCCAAAGCATTAACCAATCAAATTGCTTATCTCTGCTTCGCCTAAGCAGAAATTGCTCATCTTCTAACTCAATCAAGGCATTTACCTAATTGAACATTCTAGCTCAATTAGGAGAGTTATTGTGTCCCCAAAAGTGTGACAGACAGACCGACCCATTTTAATAGACCCCTGTATAGAAAAAAAAAAAAAGAGTTATTGTTCTTCAAAAGGCGGGTGACAATTATATCAACAACACAGAAACATCTTACTCAACAACCGTAACAGGAGTCAAATTAAAAAATTGGCATAAATCAAATATTAGGAATAAATTTTTACCTAGGTAATTATTTCAAGAAAACATTGACAAAAGTTATATTTAAAATTGGCCAAATTAAAGAAATAATAAAGTACTAGTAATATTAGTGAGTAATGGCTTTGTTTACAATTTGGGAAGTTTTGATAATATCCCGAAAAACCAACATTTCTATTTTCTTAGGTTTATAAAATACAGACCAATATTGCAAACATTTACAAATAAAACAATCTGACATTTGCCTGAGTAAGTAGCCTCGGCTTTGCCTTGAGCCCTAATATTGGTAATATTACCATCAAAACTGTGCAAAATTAACAAATGTCTCATACATGTAGGGTAGGTACATTATTAAATAGTTATTATAGAAATTCACTTACTACATATTCAAACACAAAGGTTAAAGTTTCCTTGGTATGGATAATATCATGTAGTGTCACTATATTTGCATGACGTAAACCCTTTAATAAAGATGCTGGAAAACAAAAATACACCAGTTAATTCACATTAGCCCTTTTACCAAGAAGAAAGATAGGTTGCCAGGCAACTAAACATACGCCCACAGCAGCTAAATCGTCCGAGCGGTCGACAAGAGTTGTCGTATATTTGTTCTTTTGTAGGTAATTAGGGGGCATTTATTAATAGACAATTTCATACAGATAACATTATAATTTTCGTAGTTTGAGGGTTCACAAGGTTCTAAAAACTAAAACAAGGGCTGTAACTCTGGAAGTAATCTACAGAAATTGTTGAAATTCGACAGACTTTTTCGTTTTACTAATTCAAATAATACATATCAATTTCATACAGATCAGATGATAACTTTTGTCGTTCAAACGTTCACAAGGTTCAACAAAGTAAAACAAGGGCCATAACTCTAGAAGTAATTGACAGAAATTGCTGACATTCATTAGGCTTCTTCATTTCACTTATTTAAATGATGCATATGAATTTCATACAGATTGGGTGATAACTTTTGTCGTTCAAGCATTCACAAGATTCAACAATGTGAAACAAGGGCCATAACTCTAGATGTAATTAATGGAAATTTGCTGAAACTCAATAGGCTTGTTCGATTTACTAATTTAAACGATACCTATAAATTTCATACAGATCGGATAATAACTTTTGTCGTTAAAGCATTCATAAGGTACAACAAAATGAAAAAAGGGCCATTACTCACGGTGTAATTAATGAAAATTGTTGAAATTCAATAGGCATCTTCGTTGCACTAATTTAAATGATGCATATCAATTTCAAACAGATCGGATGATAACTGTTGTCATTAGAGCATTCAAAAGATTCAACAAAGTGAAACAAGGGCCATAACTCTAGATGTAATTACGGAAATTGCTGAAATTCAATAAGCTTCTTTGTTTTACTAATCTAAATGATGCATATAAATTTCATACAGATCGGATAATAACTTTTGTCGTTAGAGCATAAACAAGGTACAACAAAGTGAAACAAGTGCCATAAATCACGGCGTTATTAACGGAAATTACTCAAATTCAATAGGATTCTTCATTTCACTAATTTAAATGATGCATATCAATTTCAAACAGATCGGATGATAACTGTTGTCATTAGAGCGTTCACAAGATTCAACAAAGTGAAACAAGGGCTATAACTCTAGATCTAATTAACGGAAATTGCTGAAATTCAATAGGCTTCTTTGTTTTTTCTAATTTAAATGATGCATATAAATTTCATACAGATCGGTTGATAACTTTTGTCGTTAGAGCGTTCACAAGGTGCAACAAAGTGAAACAAGGGCCATAACTCCAAACAAAATTAACGGAAGTTATTGAAATTAAGAACGTGTTCGTGAGAAAAGCATGCAAAATGTGACAAGGCCCTAAATCATGAATCCGGACCATACCACCACTGTTGGTTCCTTAGGACCCCCAGATGCACATGCGGGCATATTGCGATCCAAATCCCACCAGTACCCACAGAAATTATTTTTCGTTATTTTCTTAAAAATAATGGCTAATTTTAATGCATTTCTTAACTAAATTTTAAGTCTCACTCACGCAACGGATACTCACCTGAACGAAATTCTTTTTAGGGATTTTGTAGGCCTACTGTCCCTTGAAATTTTCCACAAAATTATTTTCACTTGAATCCAGCCATAGAGCCTGGGTTAGAGTTTCGATACATGAAGTCCATGGCATCAAATAAAATAGGCTATGTTTCGACATGTTTCTCTTCACTGCGGCGGGGGTGGGAGCGAGGGTGAATACATGTGCTTTTAGTACTTTATCTCCACTATATATATCAACAATAATATTGGATGCAGCTCGCCCCAGTTTTTCGGTGCGAGTGTTGAAAGTAGGCACACTCGGCAGATATTACGTCACTTTCGGATACGATGTAAGTTAAGTTATTGTCAACTTTTCTGCCATACATCAAGATGAAATTTCGAATGTAGCTTCCCCACGGTAATACAAAGCCCAGAAGGGCACTTCCGGTATCAGTGACATCACTTCCGGTTTCTTGGACTTGACACTAATATACCCATGTGACATATCGCTGAAAAGGTCATCACATGTACATTACGATTCTGTCATTACCACACGTTTTTACAGAGACGTCAAGGGAATATGGCCAAAAACATCGCCGCAAACTTGATCTGAGTATATGAGACGATGATAAAAAGAAATATACGAAATGTAAAGATATCATTAATTTGAATAGTATTCCATATATATTATGTACATATCATACATATACAGTTACTAGCAATATTGTAACTCGTAATACATATAGGCCTGTATCTCATATCACCATTCGGTTCGAATTTTTTGATTTCACACTGTTTCGCTTTATACAGTGTACTCGTGAAAAAGGACACTGGATTCAACACACTAAATGAAAATACATAGTATAAAACGTTGCAAATCGTGAATGCAAAAAGTGGCACAGCATACTGACAGCTCTCTTTTCACAACATTTTTAAAGAGACTGGATGTCAAAGAAATGAAGAGAGTCAGGATCATGAATGCTTAAATGAGCACTTTAGCGTGGAAAACGCCATTTTAGAGGCTAAAATCACATAATATTGAAATAAAAAAACTTTCACTTTTTTTTTCTTGCAAAGGGATTAGGGCATCGCTGGATACCAGTCAAACAAACAGCCCAGACACCTGACCGGAGGCGGGATATTATAAGAGCCATGATTTCTGAAACATTATCAGAGTGGAAATGAAATTAAGATCAAGGTAAATCAATAGAGATCAAGATAATCAATCAAAAAATACCTTCTAAAGCGAGTAAATACCCAAAGTTCCCAGGGTTCCTGTGATTTGCATAGATCCGATGCAGTGAAACTTTTTTCAGATAAATTATGTGTCACTAATATACTTCAGCCCTCAAGGTCGATGTCGACCATGCACCCCGCCGCAGTCGAGAAAAACGCGTTTTAAAATGGGTCTAATTTCAGTGTTTTGGATACCTAGGTTTTTCAAACTAGTCTCATTTCTACACTCCAACTTGAACTTCGTTGATATTGGGCATATATTGAGGGGAACCCAAGGTGGTTCATACTTCATTATGAACAGTCTCGAAAAATGTGTACCGAAGCCGCAGTTGCCGTCAATGAAAATAGCGTCGTTTTAAACCCAAAAAATCGGGGCGACCAAGCTCCGCAATCAGGCGGAGCAGAGACCTACTTTATTTTCTGTGGGGTCTGGGGGCCCCCGGGGTACCAACCACCAAGTTTGATCAAAATCGGTTTCCTGCTGCCTTATCACTTTTTGCAGAATTTGCATGGTCTTCTCACGGACTCGTTCTTAAATAGGCTTCTTCAACTCACTAATGCAAACAACATATATCAATTTCAAAACAATCAGATGATAAATGTAGTCTGTAGAGTGTTCACAAGAAATTGTGCACGACGGATGGACGGACGGACGGAGGTGACGGCAATATACGACCACATTTCCATGTGGGCGTATAAAAATGCTGATTTAATTTAAAGCAAGGGTGTGTGTATGGGAAGGGGGGGGGGGGGCGTCAAGAAGAATATCCATTGGCGTTTCGTTGAGAAGCTACATTCAATCTTTCAAGACATCTTCACACTGTCTTTGCCAGGCCTAGTGATATCTCGACCAACACCGGAATTGGTTAGGGAGCCATTTTACTCACTGAGTAATTGCAGCACCGATGTTTCCTTTAAAATGACACACATCATCAACCCTATAAAAAAAATCTCTTTGAGGTTTAGCTACTTGAAAGAGTAAGAAATATCATTACCTTCTCTAATGGCTGTAAATGGAGCTCCTTCCTCTTCTTGTAAACGGATTTCCTTCAAGGCAACTGTTTGATTTGTCGTACTGAAATGAGGAATCAATAAATTCAAAAAATTTATACCAATTTACACTAGTCATGATGTTGCCAAGAATTTAGCAGCTGATAAACTTCAAGGAGAATTAGGGGATAAATTTTCTGATTACAAACTGTTCATTTTAAACATCCTTAAATCTTTAGATGTAATATCACACGTCTCAATTTGCTAAGGGTAGAATTGTAACATTTGTTGGAAGAAAGTTTTGTATAGTAAAATTTTCATCCAGTGAAAAAGTATTGTAGTTGATGACATATGAAATCTTTTAAGGGGTGCATTTACTGTAACAACACACTTCAATTAACAGTTTCCATTCTATATTACAATATTTAATGATAATAAAACATCACATACTGTTACCTGTTAAGATTATGTATGTGACAAAGAGTGGGATCACCAGTAAGGCTGTGCAAAAATATCGATATAATCGATAATCGGTAGAAGTTATTTAGCGATACGATAATCGATATTGAAATTCAAATATCGATTATCGGTATATTTACCTTCTGACGGCAAGTTACGGTCACTTTCACATGACTGAACTTGCCGTAGTCTGGCATGCAGACGAATGAACGAATACACAACGTCAACACAACAACTATTTTCCCCCTCTGCTTACAAACTGGCACATTTTAAATATATATTATTGTAAAAAAAACTAAACTTTAAGATTAAATACATTATTTTAAAATTTTCGTTGTTTTTGTTGTTATTACTAGTTGAAACTAAAATAGGTCACGCACTTTGTGAACAATGACGATCGCACGTGATATAGTAAAATTAGAATTATCTCCCTTCTTTGCTCTTGATTGATTTGTAGAGAAATTGTCTGCTTTCACGATAAAACTAATTGTATTATTAATGATCAACTCAGCTTTTATTACTAAATCATGTCAGATACAGCCCATACAAACACGTTTTTGACTTCCCGGGAAAATATCTATATCTCTCGTAATTTCTTGGAAGAATTCTACCTTGGTTTTCGTCAAAATTAACCAATCATAAAAATTCTACTTTGAAAGCCGGTAATTATTTTTTTATTGTCCAATCAATAGACGCCTTCTATTATATTTTATTCTATTATTAGTAACACTGTGTGATCGCCAGTAACTCGCAAAGAGAAACCATGTATTGTCTTTGTATTTATCAGAGATATTGGAATAAAAAAAAGGTTCAAATGAATCAAGAACAAAACTTAGAATAATACTCAAGTTAATCCTACATTTAGCAACTAATTATTTTACATTAATTGATTTGTTTACGTACATCGGCACAGTATTAGACTAGGATAATAACACTACTGTAACTCGATCAACACAAATAACAGGTCGGTAAAGTTCGGTTTTTCCGGAAGAATGATAATCGATTATTATCGATAATCGCTGACAAATTCTTGCCGATAATCGATATTGAAATTTCATATCGATTCCAAGCCTTAATCACCAGCCCATGCTAATGATTGAAATAGAAAATGCCCTAGTTTGTGTTTAGCAGACTTTAAACCCCATTTTTCTCTCTCTTACCTGCTAAGACCTTTAAATACGGTAGCATAAGATCCCTCTCCTAGTTGTCCTAACTTATGATAAGAATCTGCCCTTCCAAATGGTGAATGTCCCTTTTGAATTAGAAAAAAATAAATTTTGGTGAAAATTCAACTACAGTTCAGTAATGTGTTTACTCAAACATGCTGAAAACTATATACTTAAAAACATTTGCCACTGATTAAAAGTATATATAGACAATACATTATCTTGCTGTTATACATACATTCTTTATTACACATCACTAAACACTGTTTGTTTTCAGCGCGTAATGTACACAATGCTCAACAAAATGTACAAGTGATTTTGTGTTTTGTTATTTGTTCTTGATGCGTATAGAACGCTTTTTTTTAAATCCATCAGATAATGAACAGATGATTAGCAGACAGTGGACAGATTATCTTCTAAGTAATAATGCACAGAGAAATAAGTCGCGTGGTTTCGATACCCTGTTTATCTTCTAATAATGCACAGAGAAATAAGTGGCGTGGTTTCGATACCCTGGTTGTATGTGACAAGCAGTAGGGTCGCCTGTCCAACCTTGTGTGTTTTCTAAAGACCCTACGCGCAAGCGAATTATTGAAATAAAATAGAACCATATGTTAGTCCCGAAATGAAATAGTTTGTGTCAAGTGGATATTAACCCCATTTCTCTCTCTCTCTCTACCACTTATAATGAATATAATTAAAAAAGAGATGAATTTACCCCATAACTGGAAGATCGCTTAGATAACATATGACGACTATAAACATGACCTTCAGATTTGGGACGTTCTGAAAATCGGTTTTCTGGTTCTGGTATTTTACTACTGGGTGGATCAACGGCCAACATATCACCTGCTGAATGATGGCGTTTCACTGGTGAATGATGTTGTTTCGCTAAAACATAATATAAGAACAAAGATATTCAATCAGACAGTGATATCAATATCCAAACAAGATAAATATGGAATGCATCTACTTTCTTTTCCACCATGTTCGGAAAAATGAAAATCTTCTTCAGACTGCAACAACCATAATTCAGAAAATACAACGTTCCTAGTAAATAGAACTCATTTCAGATTGACTTACAGTATCGAGCATCACGAAAGTAAAAGATTAAGTCAAAATACAATGAAAAACACTTTGCGACTTTTGTGGGTGTTTTTTTTTTAATTAGCAAATGTGCATTTGAATACTGTACTGACATCTGAATCGGCTTTGTCTATTAATGTCAATAAAGATAACTTCAAAGAAGTTACAGGTTATCAATACAGATATTTGGCTCCCAAACTAATGAATCCAATTAGAAAAGTATGTTGGAGTTTGCAAAAATTTAACCATTTTTTTTTCTTTTTACTTCTAGGGATAGAACTATTATTCCCACTGTAAGTTTTAATTGTATTTTATATTATTGTTGTATATTTGTCTACCATCGACATATTTGGATCATTTGCTTGATAAAGAAGAGAGTACCAGTATCCTTATAGAAACGGTGCAAGGTATTACGCTAAGTAATTGTATATCCATAAAATTTTGTATCTTGTGTTAATAAATAAAGATATTGCTAACTACCAACCTGAAATTCTAGATATCACAGAAGGCTTTGATTGACTTTTGTTAACGCTGGATTCATGCCATGACTTACTGCCATTAAAGACTAGATGGCCTCCATTTATATTGTTGGGAGGAACATGGGCAGGGGACAGTTCATCATTAGAGGTAAAACCATTCACTATATGACCAGAATCAGACTGAAAAATAATAGAAAAAACAATAGGATTAAAATGTGATTAAGATTTGTCTTAATTATTCAGAACTACATTCATTTCAAATTATGACAATATTATACCGATAAATTTTTAATCGGACATTTAGGGAAAGTGGATTGCAAGATTCGTTAAATAATAAAATAATAATAATATTGACAAAATTAATTTTACAAATGGCTTCACATATATCAAACATATATAATATTTTAACAGACTAAGTTGTTGAGGTCCCTTGTGACTTTCTTATGTGTATTTTACAGACATTGGATAAATTTCACATACATCAGTCTCTAATGTGTGGTAAAATTTTGAATTCTGATCATGAGACTACAATGAATGAGGTGTTCAATATCAGCATTTAGTATACAAGTATTTCTTTCATAGAAATGAACAGCAGAGCTGCAGTGGCTCAGTGAGTAATGGGCTGGCTCACTAATCAGGAAATCCAATGTTCAATCCTGTTGTTGGCTGAGAAAGCTTGTCAGGATTTTGGTTTTCTCATGTCCGTGATGTTGGATAGAGGGGAGAGAGAGAGAGAGAAATGGGGTTTAACGTCCACTCGATACAGACTAGGTCATTTCGGACTAACATATGGTTTAATTTTATTTCAATAATTCGCTTGCACGTAGGGGTCTTTAGCAGTGGGAGGAAACCGGAGGACCTGGAGTAAACCCACGAGGTTAGACAGGCAACCCTACTCCTTGTCACGTATACAACCGGGGAATCGAAACCACGCCAGTTGACTCAATGACAGACCTTATGATACAGCGCGCACGTGCTAACCATTCAGCCATCCAACCGCCTTTGGATTGAGGGCCTGGCAAGGAGCAGTGTCTAGTCTTTCAGATTGAAACAAAAATCCAAGGCACTGCATACATGATAATTAGAATTTGCTGAAGAGTAGGCAGAAACGCCTGCTGTCCAAGCAAACTTTCCTATATTACACTACATATACCAGTCATCATTAGCCCAATTAGTGCAGAAAAGTAGGACGTTAAACTTCATTTCATTTCATTTTACATGAACATTTTATTATTGCAATAATGTGTGTAACAAATCCTACATGGTAATCAAAGATCACAAGTCCATAAAATAAAAGGCAAAAAATGACTAAGCAGTACAAGGAAACTTTATAAAATAGTGAAGTAATATCATGTGTTCATGGAAGATTAAGCATAATTTTGCAACATTTTTTCCTCAAATCTATCTACTTCTAAGGAATTCTAATACTAAATACTTTCCATTTACACCATGGAGAGCCATGGTGGCTGAGTGAGTAAGACCTTGGCTCGTTAACCTTGAGGTCCCGTGTTCAATCCCTGCATTGACCGAGAAAGTTTATAGGCATTTTCCAGCGTGATTCCCCCTTGTCCGTGGTGCAGGACAGAGGGTCTGGCAAGGGGCAATGTATATATGTTCCGAAAAACTGAGGTCCTGTGTACACATTGGCATGCACATGAAAGATCTCTTGGCAAATGAAATTCGATATAATAAGAGTAGGCCGTAGCGCCACTGTCCAGGCTAAAATTTCCCTCATAGCACATTGTATGGCGTATACCCGTCTTCTTATTCCAGTCAGAGCAGAACAGTAGGATGTTAAACCCTCGTATTTCATTTCATTTACACTTTGATAAGTATACCATTTTCAGACCTTTATGTTTCAGGCACGCTGTCACTTTCGCACTCCATCACTCATCTAAATCCCAATTTAGGTGCATATTTTATTGCCCTGCTCTGTCCTCTGTAATCGCTCTACCCAACGTATATGTTTACTTTTTATGTTCACTTTTCTTATTCACTTTCCATTAATTAGATCTGCATCAATGTCAATATTTTAATCAGTAATCATTTTCCTTGGTCACTCTCACATTATTTTTCAACCCAACGAAATATTCACTGAGTAACTAAATGTGCCTTACATAAAACAAGCCAACAGTGAGGCTGATGTCCCCCGCCGAAATCCCCAAATAAATAGATGACACATATTAATTAATTGCACATCTATTTTTTTCAAAAGTATCAACTGATTATCAACTATACACTTAAGTTTCATCACTCTCTATCAGATAGAATCGAAGTTATTTTGTCCCAAAACATCGACCAAGGAAATTGCTTTAGCTCAATATGTTTATCAATGAACTCAGTCGAGACGAACATCTACATGTACATGAAGTTTAAATATTCTACCTCAATTAGAAGCAGAGCTGTTAAATTCCAAAGTTTTGACCAATCAAAATGCTTATTGCTCCTTAGCCTAAGCAGAAAATTCTCATCATCGAACTTAGTCAAGGTATTGTTGTAATGAAACTATACACCTAGTTTCATCACTCTCACTTAATTAGAACTAAAGTAATCGTGTCCCAAAGCATCAACCAATCAAATTGCTTATCTCTGCTTACCCTAGACAGAAAATGCTCATCTTCGCACTCCATCAAGGCATTGACCTCATAAACACCTACACCAAGTATGAACATTCTAGCTCAATTAGAAGGAGAGTTATTGTGTTCCAAAGTTCTCGACCAATCAAATTGCTTATTGCTCTGCTTACCCTGAGCAGAAAATGCTCAATATCTAACTTAGTCAAGGTATTGATGTAATGAAACTATACACCAAGTTTCATCACTCTCACTTAATTGGAACTTAAGTCATCGTGTCCCAAAGCATCAACCAATCAAATTGCTTATCTCTACTTTCCCTAAGCAGAAAATGCTCATCGTCACACTCCGTCAAGGCATTGACCTAATAAACACGTACACCAAGTTTGAACATTTTAGCTGAATTAGAAGGAGAGTTATTGTGTTCCAAAGACTCGGCCAATCAAATTGCTTATCGCTCTGCTTACCCTGAGCAGAAAATTATCATTATCGAACTTAGTCAAGGTATTGATGTAATGAAACTATACACCAATTTTCATCACTCTCACTTAATTAGAACTAAAGTTATCATGTCCCAAAGCATCAACCAATCAAATTGCTTATCTCTGCTTACCCTAAGCAGAAAATGCTCATCTTCGAACTCCATCAAGGCATTGACCTAATAAACACCTACACCAAGTTTGAACATTCTAGGTCAATTAGAAGGAGAGTTATTGTGTCCCAAAAAGTGTGACGGACAGACGGACGGGCAGGCAGGCAGACCCATTTTAATAGTCCCCTGCTTTCTTCGAAAGGCGGGGGACAAAAATATATATCCATTCGACAACGGTCCCTATTATCTATTATTAAATATTAATAAACAACAGTTAACCTTTTTTTTTGTTAATCTATAATGCACAACTTAAGACACCATTTTGAAATTTCCCACAATCTTGCATAGAAAAGAACACTTGCAACTCAAATTACCATTCAAGGCACCACGGGTCTGCCATATAAGGCATTTCATACTACAACACTAGTAAAATGGTTAATTTTGGTGCAGTAACTTATTTATTATTCACAATATAAAACAGACATAATAATAGCAATACAGGGTATTATTCTTCAAAAAAAAGAGCATTACATATGATTCATGTGTCATCTCCTATCCTTAATTCCAGGAAAGATTTTCAATTTTTTTCAATCCCAGCTCCCCACAATATTTTCAATGTGAAGGCCAGCATGTTAGTGTGATGTTGTTTACCTTGTTCAATCAATCTCATTAAGTAAAGAAAATATTTGTGATAATGTTGGGAATTTTGTATAATGAGGTCTTAATGAAAACAACTAAAATCAAGTTTGTTTAATAAAGCCCATGAAAAACACTCAATCCAAAACAGCTACAGCATGGCCACTATTTCTAAAAATTAAATATAAATCTGTCATAAATTAACTCTGTAGACGGAGTAAGTTTACTTTAATGTACATTGATTAACAATATATTAGTCAGCAGTTATAACTCTGGAACTACTTTAGAAAATGGCTCAAAATCAATAGAGACAATGTTTAAACCAAAATTTGATAAAAATTGTTTTAAATTTGAACACTATAGAATGAGTATGAGGACGTTAATTAGGGCTGCAACAATATACCGCGAGACGGTGCACAGCAGTATACATGTCACAGTTCAGTTCACAGTACTTTAAGTTCCGTACCACAGTTCAGTAAACATGGTACAGACTTTTTTTAATCGTCTGTTTTCTTATGATATTCAACTATCATATAGAATTATGTCCCCCTGTAGTTCACATGACAAGGAGGAAAGATGGGAACAAAGTGGCTAATAAAGTGACATGTCACTATTAAATATCATGTACTTGTTTTTATTTCTTAAGTAAACTTGGAAAAAAATATGTACTCTAGAGAGTGTCCACGAGATTTCCCAAAGTGATCAAGGGCCATAAGTCAGGTAATAATTATCGGAAATCGTTGAAAATCAATAGGCTTCTTTGTCTCATGACCATAAACTCTGTGTATAAATTTAAAGTCAATTGGAGGTAACAATATACAGGGGTGCCGTTCGGCACAATGGCCAGGGTATCAAAAGATAAGGGGGGGTTCTCTCCCCCCGTCCTCTAGAAAATTTTGAAATTTGTCAATTCCAAGAACGCTGTTTAGAACACCTCTAGCATTCCAAATTCCAACATAAAACCGTTTAAAATACATGATAATGAAAGAGACAAAAGCCTGATTATTCACAATTTTCGTATCCTGAGCAATTCATCTCATAAAAAATACTTTTTAATTTGACATTCAATACACCAAACTTCATCAAGAAAATAGAATAAGCTTTTTGAACGAGACAGTAGATTTAGAGACACGATTCTTGCAAGAGCTCATATTCAGGAGCAAGTGTTGACAAGACACTATAATGAGACTATAATCGGCCGAAGTAATTGAAGAGCTGATCAGAGAGCAATTACATATATATCATTTAAAAATGAATAGACTAGTAAAAAGGTTGAAAACTTTCATCATTAGGGCATGGGTATACATGTATACCCCAGAAAAGGGCAGGGTTCCAATTTGTATTCCAAGGTACCTGGGTTCCGGCGCCCTGACAATATACATGTACAACCACATTTCAAAAGTTTACAAAGTTTTTTTAAGAAAGTAACCCTTGTGTCTGGAGTATTCCAAATTTGACTCCAGTCGCACGCATCTTTAATATTAATTAAGTTTTAGGCATAAATACTAATTCACTCTTTTTGCTACTCATGTATCGCAATCAGATACAACCGTAGTGTTTTTTTAATTTCTCTAATGAATGTTCTACCAGAAAAAAATCTGTTACATGTAAGTTATTATAAACTAAATCATAAAATAGAAAACTTGTAAGCTTAAGAATTTATAAACCAGACATATAATTGATACCAATTATGCCGAAACTTGGGAATGTTTAGTCTTGTAAAGATTGGCACCTGTTTCTCTAGAGAAACAATTTTCGTGCCTGGGTTTCAGAATTTATGCATTCAGTATCCTTACAGTTTGCGATGTTCCCATGTATACAGTAAGCCAATTGTTATTTTTTGTAAAAATGAACAACTATTCCAGTGTTTCGTGAGTGGGTTGGCTAATTTTCTGTTAATGCATGAACTGTGTTATATTGAGATGCTCATCAAGATAAGATTCAAACTATCTAAAATGCTTCTATAAGATCCAAACATAAAAAGAATTTTGATAGAATTGTTGATCTGCTCTGTGTTACCAGTCTCACTCTTACATGTTCCTCTTTCTATTAATTTTATCCTGATAATTCCCAAGAGGCATAATAAAGAACAGTTTCAGTATTGTTATACAAAAGTTAAACAAGAATTTGTAAGCTAGATATCCAATTAAACATACACTATGCAAGAGCTAGATTTGCTTATTGCAGGTCTTTCTTTAGGCCTGAAATGTTACATAAACTATTAATTAGACATTTGTTAACATGACAAGACCATCATCAACCCTTGATGCCATCAGATATCTCTGATATTAAGTCGATTATAACGGTTCAGCCATATTTTGATTTAATATAAAAATGGAGAAGCGAGGCTTAGTTTCAAGCAACCAGTACGGTGGTTACAATTCATGCACGCATGTTGTCAAACCTTTAATGGCTAATATCTTTGTTCGCATTTGAATGAAATTTTCGACATATTCATTTTGAATTATCTATTTTCAAACTATCATAGCAAGAATGGCTAGCTCTTTATCTAAGTTTTACATAATGTATCTTTAAGTTGTGGAAACCCTTCTTTATTGTGAGTGTTAGCTGCAGATGAATTGATCCTAAATCCAAACACAGCATATATATTCAATGTACTGTACCATGCGAACTATTGATTTTTTCAGATATGCCCTTTATCTGAATAATGTCATAATCTAATACCTGTAAAGCATGCCTGTGTATTAAATATCCTGGAAAACATTAAAGTATAGTACACTGTACCTATAAATGAAGCTTGTAGAGTGTAGTGCTGCGTATTTGCCCAAGGTTCACTTTTAGATGACAAATCTAATTCTACCCTAATATAACTATAGGGTTTTTTAAAAGTTAGTTTACCTATGAGGGTTGGTTGAAAAGTTCTAAGCCTGAAAAGGATAGACCAATTGGGTTGAAACAAACTTTTGCCACCAACAGGTACAATCGTTGAATGATTCATAGACATAAGAACTACAATTGCAGTGTTATTATTCCCTTCATAGCAGATTATCTTGTGAACCTTCACATTGAAATCACTAGACATGGACAAAACTGGTTATAGGGCAGTCATCAAGTACCTTCAACTGAAAGGATTAACCCCAACACAGATATATGCCACTCTCTCTTTTTTCACAGTAAAGAAGTGGGCTGGAGAATTTAAGCATGGCAGAGAGAGCCTTAACTATGACCCGCGTCCTGGAAGGCTGGCCATCAACAGCAACCCAGGTGCATGACATGGCAATGTGGGCATGAAAGGGTTGAGCACATTATCGTCCCGTGAAAATCTGCGCCATTTTGAAGCAGATCCTGATAATTTTTTGGCCAGAATTGAAACCATGGATGAAACCTGGATTCACCCCTCGAACCAGAATCCAAAATTCAGTCTAAACAATGGAAGCATCCAGAGTCGCAAGACCCCCAAAAAGCCAAGTCGGTTCCGTCTACTGGAAAGGTGATGGCTTCAGTCTTTTTCATTTCCAAGGGTATCCTGCTGATTAACTATCTTGAAAAAGGCCAGACTATCATGGAAGATATTATGCTGACCTACTTAGACAGTTGCATGAAGCTATCAAAGCGAAGCAACTGGGAATGCTCACTAAATGCATCTTGTTCCACCAAGACAATGCTCCTGTTCATAATTCGGTGATTGCCATTCAGCAATCCATGATTGTAGCATCGAACTTATTGACCATCCACCTCACTCGCACGATTTGGCCGACAGACGGCCACCTGTTTCCAACAAGCCAACAGTGAGGCTGATGTCCCCCGCCGAAATCCCAAAATAAATAGATGACACATTAATTAATCGCACATTTATTTTTTTCAAAAGTATCGAGCAATCAAATTATACACTAAGTTTCAGCACTCTCTATCAGATAGAATCAAAGTTATCTTGTCCCAAAGCATCGACCAATGTTAATAATTGAACTCAGCCATGACATGACAGCAGAAAATACTCATTATCAAACTTAGTCAAGGTAATGATATAATAAAGCTATACACCAAGTGTCCTCACTCTCACTTAATTAGAACTAAAGTTATCGTGTCCCAAAGCATCAACCAATCAAATTGCTTATCCCTGCTTACTCTAAGCAAAAAATTCTCATCTTCACACTCCATCAAGGCATTCACCTAATAGCCACCTATGCCAAGTGTGAACATTCTAACTCAACTAGAATGAGAGTTATTGTGTTCTAAAGTCTCGACCAATCAAATTGCTTATCTCTGCTTAACCTAAGCACAAAATGCTCATCTTCGAACTCCATCAAGACATCAACCTAATAAACACCTACACCAAGTTTGAACATTCTAGCTCAATTAGAAAAGGAGTTAATGTGTTCCAAAGTCTCGGCCAATCAAATTGCTTATCGCTCTGCTTACCCTAAGCAGAAAATGCTCATTATCGAGACTTAGTCAAGGTATTGATATAATAAAGCTATACACCAAGTGTCCTCACTCTCCCTTTTAATTAGAACTAAAGTTATCAGGTCCCAAAGCATCAACCAATCAAATTGCTTATCTCTGCTTACCCTAAGCGGAAAATGCTCATCTTCGAACTCCATCAAGGCATTGACCTAATCAACACATACACCAAGTTTGAACATTCTAGCTCAATTAGGAAGAGAGTTATCGTGCCCCAAAGTATCAACCAATCAAATTGCTTATCTCTGCTTACCCTAAGCGGAAAATGCTCATCTTCGAACTCCATCAAGGCATTGACCTAATAAACACATACACCAAGTTTGAACATTCTAGCTCAATTAAAAGTTATCGTGTCCCAAAGCATCAACCAATCAAATTGCTTATCTCTGCTTACCCTAAGCGGAAAATGCTCATCTTCGAACTCCATCAAGGCATTGACCTAATCAACACATACACCAAGTTTGAACATTCTAGCCCAATTAGGAAGAGAGTTATCGTGTCCCAAAGCATCAACCAATCAAACTGCTTATCTCTGCTTACCCTAAGCGGAAAATGCTCATCTTCGAACTCCATCAAGGCATTGACCTAATAAACACATACACCAAGTTTGAACATTCTAGCTCAATTAGGAAGAGAGTTATTGTGTCCCAAAAAGTGTGACGGACAGACAGATGGACAGACGGACAGACAGACAGACAGACGAACCCATTTTAATAGTCCCCTGCTTTCTTCGAAAGGCGGGGGACAATAAAGAAAAAGGAACTACATATAGCTGGTCATCATTTTCATAGTAATGATGACTTTTTTTTTAGGGTGGTTGAAGAAAATTTCTTCCTGAACGGCATCCAGGAAGGTATACCTAGAAGTGGACTATTTAGAAAAATAAATGGAAACTATTGATTTTGTACAGATAGGCTTAGAACTTTTCAGACAGCCCTCGCAATCTCTCTCTGAATGTACAATAAGTTCCTCCATGAAGAAGATCAACAGCCAGATTGGTTGATGTGAAAAGCCTTAGGAATAGGCAGGAAGGCATTGTACACCAACTGCTGCCAGACCTCTAAAATGAATTTAATTTTTAAGTGCTTAGCAAACTTTATTTCCAATCTGATTAAAACACAGATCCTATTTCGCTTCGTTTTTTATAGTTCAAAATATCATTTTACTTGTCTTTACTACACTAGGATCTGGAAGAGTTGCTGGCATTTTGGTTGAAGTGAGGGATAAGCCAATGAAACGGTCTGTTACGGCGACTTCTTGGCGTGCCATGCACGGAACTGTGGGTAAACCACTAGAAACGTCAACGCTGATTGATTAATCAATTAATGTTTGACGTCATAGGGTCAAAAGCTGACCTTCGAGTACAACTTGTCAGATCTTCATGTAGTGTACGCCATCAAATGTATAAAAAAAAAAAAGAAAAGAAATAAGATCTGTATTTTAATCAGATTGACTTTATTTCTTACCCTTTTTTTTAGAAAACCTAAAAACACATTTATTTGAATAGTTCATGACAAAATCGACATTTTGTTTGTTATACTCATATCTAAACATCTTTAGAATGACAAAGTCACTTACCTCCTGATCACTTTCATGAATGGTATCTTCTTTAGATATGGCTGAAAGATAGAAAACTCATTATAAAGTGAACGGAACATCATCATGTCTCAGTAAGTCTAATGAGTACAATCTGCTTTCTCTCTCTCAACAATATTAATTTGATTGAAAAATCAAGTTATTTTAAGTAATACCATACCCTACCATACTTAATAAGTACTTCAATTACCATACAATCCATAGAAAACTATATGTACCAACCATACCAAATTTGTCAATGGATAAAAGCTTTCATTAGAATGATATTCTTAATTAGGACTGAAAGATCAAACTTAAGGATGCGGAGACATTGTCTGTGAGACAAAGCGGTAAAGTCAAGACCATTAGTAGCTTGTCTGCCACTGAAATCATCTGAAAGAAGTTTCATACATGGTGTGCTCACATGCTGAATGTAGAAGTAAGCTTACTTGTTTGTGGTTGAACGGAAGTTTTTAGTCTAAGTCTACATTAATGGAATCATTTCTGATCTAAACCAGCCTTGATATCAAATTTATACATAAAATCATAATTTTCAGGAAAAAAAGCTTATGTCATTGAGATGTCTGCTACCCAAAGTTCTCATTTCAGAGCTTTACTTCTTTAATTCGAAAACAATTTGACAGTGAAGGTAAATTAAAATTATTAAGTGGAACACAAATCATGTTTGTCTTAAGTTTCCTCCCCACTCTATTAAAGCTGCAGGAAATTGTTGCAAGAAAAATACACAATGAGGGAAAGCGTGTAAATATGTTACTATATTAAATGCATCACAATTACAAGAGACAAAGTTCAATTCTGATTACTTAAAACATATAAGAAATTACATATTATAAGTACACCGAAAGGCTATTAGCTATGTGAAATCTTCAAATCAGATATAATATCAGGAATTTTTGAAAAAAGTAAGCATAACCTTCATCATGCAGAAAACCTAGTCACTACATATAGCAAATTATACGCAGACGACATCAATGCTACCATTAAATGAAATTGGGACTGTTTGGAATAATTTGTTTTGTATTGAAAGGCCAAAGTTATGTCACATTGCCTTTAACTAACTATAACTTGAATTATTAATGTTTTAATAATAAACAAGACTTGAATAGATTTAAAAGCACATGTTTACATCTTAGGTTGTTAGTTTGGACAAGATTATTGATCTATGAGAATTTTGTGTGCTCAATCGTTTAAAACTCTAATTATAGCTCTCATTACATCATTCTAATCAATATTAACAAAATATCTTACAGTCGCCATTTCCATGAACAAAAATCTTAACATGTTAGCAATCATTCTTTTCAGACCTAACCTTTTCCTAAGGTTATGAAAATAGCTTTTGATTTTATTTGATTGTATTACAAATTCCCAGTAATGTTTTCGTTATCACCTAATACTGCATTTCAATATCAATATATTTCAGTCCTGTGTGATAATAAAGACTAACAAAAAATATTTTTATCTAATATTGGTCATCTCTAGAAAAAAATTAAAACTATGGACACATATTTCATAAACCCACTGTCAACCACTTTTTGACCATTTGTATATCAGAATGCGCAATCATAGCACCTGAGATTGGACAATTCCCATGCTAGAGCACATAATCATAGCACCTGGGATTGGACAACGCCCATGCTAGAGCACTTATCAACTCGTTGTCTTACCATTAAACTACCAGACATGTCATTGATAATGATAATGGCACCTACATTTATATTTGAATTTAAAATGTGCCAGGTTTGAAATATTCTAGTAATATTCAAATTCTGTATTCAAATTGCTATTTGAATATTCCATTCAATTCAAAAGGTACTTTTAATAAAACGATTTTGGTAAAAAAATTATTCAAATCAATCTTCGTGATGCAGACTTCAAGCAATATAATAACTCCACTATCCTATTCATACCAACCAATCCAGTATTTTTAATAATCAGATAAATTACATAATATCAATGGTCTTTAAATAATTATATATATTTCTTACTTCATAGAAGAAATGCATTAAATCACAATTCTCATCTTAAATGAAATGAAAGGGGTTTAACAGGGCTGATGAGAAAAATTTTGTCTGAACTGCAGCATTATGGCCTACTCATCCTCCTGGTTTGTAAGCCAGTGCCTTATACACAGAGAGTCACCATGGCTCATTTTAAAAAATAAATAACAGGTAGCTCATCCTTCGGTCAATAAATATGTACATGGATACAACTACTGTCTCATCTATAGATATACATAATAACAAGTAGTTACATTATGTAGAGTGTACACATGTTGCCATGTTATAAAACAAATATAAATCCATTAGTCTTCCTGTTATACTTAAAGCTCATATTTCACAATCAATTACCAACATAAATATCTGTTTATATCAATTGCATCAGGTTTAACTATAGTGCTATGTAATCTGGAATATTGGTTGTTATATTAAAAATACATTATGTAAGATTTAGAGCTGGCTATTCTTGCTATTAAAGTATTATAGTACAAAATAGATAATGCAAAATGAATATATTGAAAATTTCATTCAAATTAATTTATTCTAAGCCAAGTTATCAGTTTGCAGTTTTGACAAGATGTGTGTATTGATTGATTGTGTATTATTGTAGCCACGGTACTGGTATATTTGAGACCTAGCTTCGCTTTCCCATTTTTAAATTAAATCATTAAATAACTGAACCATTCTAATCTAGTTAAAATCTCGAATTCGGTATCTGATGTCATTAAGCGTTGATTATGGTCTTTTCATGATAATAAATGTCTAATAATTTATATAATATTTAAGGCCTAAAGAAAGACCTGCAATAGGCAAATTAGCTCTTCAATAATGTATCAACAAAACCTGACATAATATAATATAAAATGGTACATGTAGGTATGTTAATGGAGGATATAATATACCTTAGACAAAAAAACCATTAAATCAAACCCTGAAAAATGGTTCCTGCCGTGACCAATGTCAGGTTATTGATTAAGCACAATTAATCTAATATCATTCTTAATAGTAATGAACAGATCGGATGGCAGGAATATCTTTATGAACATCTACAGTCTATTCAAATCACAACAGCTCCAATCACCCCTTTAAGATTGCCTCTTTAAAAGTAAGTTTTGAGAATAGAAACAGTGCCAGTATTATATTAGGAATAATTTTAAGTGGTATTTCAGCTAATTAGTAGCAGTTAACCAGCCAAAAATATCACAGAAGACAAACATCCCATCCATGCATTCACACGAAAGGTATACAACAAATCACAATATAAGAACACTCATGGTCCTGTAACTTACATACTAATATGCTGGGGTTTAAGATAGCCTAATGATATGGTTTAAATTTCCTCTTATGAAAAATATGTCTACTGCATACAATATATTTTCATCATTTTGATGGCCACCTGCAATTTTATTACGGCTTCTCTTTTTCTTTTGTTTCTATTTCATTTTTTTTTTTTACGTGCACACGTGATGTACACAGGACCTTGTTTTTTTGTTCTATCAGAAGGACTAGACACAGTTCCTTGCCAGGCTTTCTGTCTGCACCATTGGCAAGGGGAAACTACACTTGAAAATGTCAAGTTACTTTCTTGTCTAACACCCTGATCGAATCTCTGAGCACCTTTCTCACTGAGAGACCGTTACAACTAACTACTCCAGTACTCTTTTCTCTTTGAAGTCTAATTTTAGCCAATACTGTGATCAAATGGGCTTAATAGGCCATCAGTCAGTTGGATCAAGCCATCAATATTTGTCTATGAGAAAATGTCTACCCTTAAAGGTGCTCTCATTTGAACAGATCTGAATAAGCATCACCCAAACAACATGCAGTCTAGTGAAGAAGTCTGTGATGGCAATATTTAAATCTCTCATCAATATGATGTATTGTAAATAGTGACCTCAGCTAATCTATTATTTACTCACTGTATGTGACAGTATTACCTTAGGGCAAGGAAGGGTCATTGAGATGTCATACCTGCATGTCATCAACTAATTTATCACTCACTATGAAAACATTAGTGGTGATGATGTCTACAAATAATGTAAACCAGTTTTTATGTATTATGCACTGATTGATTATTTAAAGTGACAGTAACATTATGCACTTCTAAAATGTAAAACTGAAATAAAGCCAGATTATTAATGATCTGAAGACATCTGAACTTTGTATGATAGTACAAATGGAAGTTTTTCAGACCGTTCACAAGTGAAAATACCGTTACCATAACTACCGTACATTTCATACAAGCAGAGCAGTGTGACTTGAACTTAATGGCTTTTAAGTTGATAATCATTTTTAGAGTGCTTCTCATATGTCATCTATATTTGAGTTATTTTAATCTACATTTTCAGGGAAAAAATACAATTAATTAAAATCCTTACAGGCTTTGAAGGGTCAGTTCAACACAAAGGGATAAACCAATCAATTTATACTTTTCATGTAGGAATAAATTTGTTTTCAAATTGAAAGAATTTCTTCAATATTGTCAGTAAAAGTGGAGATAAAAAAAAAAACCAAAACGTTTAAGAATTTGTTCCAATAGTTTTGTCTGTAAAAAATGAAGATGTAAAAAATAAGTTAGATCCCAATAACTTCTATAAGTGTCGGTCAAGATGCTGTTGCCCTGTGTATGTAAATACTTTTGTTCTGTAACAAACACAAGGATATCAAATTTTTAGATAATTGATTATACCAACATTCATGGACCATGCCATGGTACATGTACATTGTAGCTGAATGAGACTTCTGTAAGTCAGACCTGTTTTTGTGCATTAAATTATTTGGGAGAACAAAACAAATTAGGAGGATAGACATTAAAGAATGATTGTTAACTAGCTGTCAACACTATCTTCCCCTTAATGAGTTTTTGATGAGATCTCCACACCATTCATGACTTGTTCTAGCTACAGTAGTATTATTATATCCTCCTTTTATCATAAAGCAACCATAAAATTGCCTGTCATTATTAAATCCATTACTTCACAGGCTCTGATATGTATTGGAAAAGATGACACCATTTTACCCCAAAA